GGAGCCCACAATAAGGTACCCCTAATTTTCGGACACTCCCACATGTTGCAGCTTATATTCTCCATGTCAGCGAGTCTTTGAGCCCGCGAAAGCACGCACCCAAAAGGAGCCCCTTTTAGCTCCTGAAGCTTCGCGGCATCCTTTCGATCTTTCCCCAGGCGCTGTCGAACAGGCCTCTTAGGGACGGCTGACGGTTTCATCCCGGGGGATTTACGGGTTTAGGGGTTCAGGGGTTTATATAGGGCCTAATTAGGGGTTTAGGGCTTAGGGGACGGTTGGCGGTTTTACCAGGGTACCAAGTCCATCATAGGACACAACTGCTTGAAAAGGTTCCTTTCGGTCTTCCTCCAAAGGTGCTATACGGGATCTATTTGGGATCTCCTCTTACCGGTCCTCATCGCAGGATCCGGACCAGGAACGGCAAGCACGTACGGCGGCGCGTTCAAGTGTTTAAGAGGACGGAATAATGTTCGTCGCCTTTGGACCTAAACCCTAAACCCTAAACCCTGAACCCTAAACCTGCCCGTCCAAAGATGCTTAGTCGCGTGGCCATCAAACGTGCAAACCGAGGCACCTGAGGCGGCAACCCTCCAATCAAAAGCTCGCGTCTTACATACTCCACGGTTTAGGGTTTAGGGTTTAGGGGTTTAGGGTCCCGAACACCACAAAGACCGTATCTACGCGCTTATCATCAAAACCAGAAGTCTGTTCAGCTGATGCTGCATCTGAAACAAGCGACTTGAGTTTTCAAGTGGGGGATGTACATTCATGCAGACAAGGGAACCGGCACCCTTACCTCCCAATTTTGGTTATCCCCAACCCAATCAGAATCCTCAACCACGACCCTGAACCCTACTTGGAGGGTCGGGGGATGTAAGTAGCCATTTTATAGGGTTATAAGTATCAGAACCCCAATTCGGAACCCTTTAGGGTACTTATAACTCTAATTACTACCTACTCACTAAATCCCCCGACCGTCCAAGTAAACTCTATAAGCCCTGAACCCCCTAAAACCCTAAACCCTAAACCCTGATAAGCCCTGAACCCCCTAAAACCCTAAACCCTAAACCCTAAAACCCTAAACCCTAAGCCCTGAACCCCACGCCGTGCCTTCGTGGCTCCTCATAGCGGCGTCGGCCATCGTCCTGCAGCCGCGGTGGAACTGGTTTAGAGGGTTTAGGGTTTAGAGGGTAGAGGGTTTAGGGTTGAGGAATTAGGGTTTAGGAATTAGGGTTTAGGAATTATAGGGTCAAAGCCTCCATGTACCTTTATAGTAGATACTTAGACCCCAAAGTAGTCCCTATATGGGTACTTTAAGGCCTAAGTATATACTATATGGGTACATGGAGCCTTAGGGAACCGGATATAGAAAAATGAAAACTCCAATTTAACAAAACCCGTTTCTTGAAAGGCACTAGTGCGGGATCTGTATGAAATTCTGTCAAGGGAGACAGATGGAGACAGATGTATAAATCAGGGTATACATACTCACAAGAGCCGCGTCAAAAGCACAGGCACTGGAAGAGGCATTAGAATCGGGTTTCGGCATATGCTCTAGTTTTGTTATAACCTCGAATCATAGCAAATCATATTATCAACTATTCGGTGGTTCTTTGTTTGCCCAACCCTTGCCCTACCACTCTGGCTTGGAGTCTCTTCTTCAGGGACCTTCCGAGGTTTAGGGCTGTAAGGCTTTATGGCTCATGGTTTTGGGATGTTTTGGGGTTCCAGGGTTTAAGGGTATGGGGCTCAAAGGGTTGCGGGACAGATGTTCGGGGTGTGGCTCATTTGTTCCCGTTGAACGATTCTGCCTCTAGCAGTTTTTGAGGACTCACGAAACTCATCTAAAAGGTCTCTGGAAACCAAGGCAGTCTCCATGACACCAGAGACAACTCCTAGACCACACAGACAGGTCGCCTCCATCACCTAGATCTGCACAGCTGCCATCGTTCCATGCGCCGCCGTGGCCGCAAACATGTCAACGCGCAACTCACCTTAACCCCGAGTATCCTACATTTTTATGGACTTATATAAGGAACTCACATTAAGGAACCCTAAAAGGTGGGTTTCTTGGGGTCCAGGTAAAGCCTTACATCCTCAACCCCCGACCAACGATTTCTCCGGACCCGAACCATGACGCGGTAAAGACTCTCTGCAGTGAGTGTTAAGACCTGAAACCTCTATATATACATCTCTATATATATATATATATATATATATGTATATACACCTCGAACCTGTGTTCCCGGCTTGAAGCCCTTAACCCTGCTACCCAACCCAAAAAGCCCTTAATTTGTGACCTCGTGTTTTAGTTCTTCTGTTGGAAGGAGCTCCGACATACTAATTACAGCAAGGTTATGTACGTATCGAAGATAAACCAAAACTTCAGTAAACACAAATTTATTAAACAAAAAAAAAAATATATATATATATATATATATATACACACACACATAGATATGGTTGAGCCTGGCTCGAGGTCTTAGGCACCCCGCCTCGGGGGCCTTCGGTTCTAGATCAAGACTCCCCATCTGCTGGGAAACTCCCAGGTCGTTAGAGCCTCCGAGCCGCCGGCCATGCACAGTATTCGGGTGTAGGGTAGGTCCTTATAATAAGGATCCTACAATTTATGGTATTATATTAGGGTCCTCTATTTTCGGAAGCTCCCATATGGGAGCCTTACTTGTTGAGGGTCATGAGTCCTTATGGGAGCCAGTGCGCTAAGAATGCACAGTCTCTCCTTTACCAGGTTTCCCCAGTGTCCCCTTAATAATGAGGATACCCCTGTTTCCTGGTATTTAGCTTCTACAAGGGGGCCCTTGCAATAAAAAGGGCGGAAGGTTACTACTGAGGAACCTAGCCAAGCTGGCTGGAACCTAGCGACACTTTGAAAGCTTTGAAGTCACAGCTGGAATGCTGGTGAAGGTTGCCTCCCAGACTGTGTGTTTGCCCTGACTGGCCCCGTCTCAGAGTCTAAACCTTGTGCTGAGGACGCTGCCATTTCTTGCAACCCCGCTTCATCGAGCATGAATTGGGGACCGTCCCTGTAGTTGAGGTTCTTGGGTATACAAGGGGACGACTTTGAAAACCTGCGTTGACGATGCCATTGAATCTTCGGCTTGGCGAAAGACAGCTCAAAAACTCTAGAGCGCGATGAGCTTTAAGAACCTAAACCCTAAACCCTAAACCCCAAACCCCTAAACCCTAAACCCCAAACCCCTAAACCCTAAACCCTAAACCCGTAATACCTCACGCTCCACCCAGAACCCTTGAGCCTGAAGCCGAACCCTAAACCACAAAACCTAAGCTATAAACCCTCAAACCTAAGCCTAAACCCTGAACGTCACCTAGACACTGCATCCGTGTGTAAGCTCCGTGTGTAAGCTTCGTAGACGATATGATAACAGCCCCAATGGTATCAGTAGGGTTTAGGGTTGAAGGAATGAGGCTTAGGATCTAGCTTAGAAATAAGGCATAAAGTTAGGGCTTGTGTATAGGGTTTCGAGTGATATGCTACTTTAGCTTTCCTATGTTTAGTTTCCTCGCGGCCGATGCACATACGCACATGGAGCCAAAGGGGAACCCTGCGTGAAGGTTCCCGGGGTTCGTCTGACGCAAAGTTCGGGTTTCGGGCTTGTCATCTTTCCCTAAAGGTCCATGTACTCAAGTAGTATATACTTGGGCCACTGTATTATAATAGGAACCCAAAAAGGGACCATAATTTGGACAACCACCCATTTATTGTGTTTAAAGCAGCCCTTTCGGGCTTTCAGGCACCAAGATCTAACCCTAAACCTAGACCCTGTATCCCTTAACCCTAATTTTTTGAGGTCTTTGGTGCTAGGTTGAACATGTCAGTTGCCGTGAAACCTTCGCAGCATCCGCAACCTTTTACCCGCCTTCGCTCACTCTCCGTCAGCGCCGACGGCCGCGGCACAAGTCCAATACCCACAGAACCTCAAAAACCGCATGTAAGCACTGTAAGCCCCTCGAAAAAACCCGAAAGCCCGTGTAAACTATGAGTTGGCCTGAACCTTTACGTCGATTTGTCGGAGCCCTGCCGGTCAGAGATTTGACCTCACTCGGCTGCATGGAAGGCTCAAAAGTTGGCCCCTTGGGCGTGCAATTCACTTGCAAGGGCTTTGGTGTCTTTTGTATACGGTTTCTAACCCTATTACCCAAAAAGGTCCCAAAGTCGTAAACAAGGAGTACTTGGACCCTTAGGGCATGTTTTCATCAGCATTTGGGGTTTAGACTGCGATATTTCGAATTTAGGTTTTTCGGCTGAGGACTTCAGGTGTGAAATCGAGTCGGGGTGCAGGCATCTCGATCAAGCCTCAAAGCCTTCAACACCGAGTCTTTCATAGGGGTCAGAGCATCCAGAATCCTAGTTGAAGCTAAAGCTCTCCAGCCTTGAGCCTGCTAGCCCTGAACCCTTAAACCAGAAACACTGGACCCTTCACTCAAGCCCTGGCCCTAGCCCTAAACTCTTCAACCAGGAATACCTTGCCGGAGCCTCTGTTGAAACCTCATCGGGAGCAGGTCTCCGACCCTATCCTACCTTCCATTTTCCTTGGAAGATGGAGACATCCAACAAGTTAAAACCTAGAACCCAAACCCACAATCTTAAGCCATAAACCCCAAACCCTAAGGTCCAAACCCTAAACCCCCAAACCCTAAACCCCTAACCCCTAAACGCCTAAACTCCTAACCCCTAAACCCTTAACCCTTAACCCCTAACCCTAAACCCCTAAACCCGTAACCCCTAAAGCCCAAACCCTAAAATCCAAACCCTAAACCCCTAAACCATGAACCCCTAACCCCTAAACCCCTAAACCCCTAACCCCTAAATCCCTAAACCCCCAAACCCCAAACCCTAAAGTTCAAACCCTAAACCCCTAAACCCCTACACCCCAAAAACCTAGAATCCAGACCCTAAACCCCAGACCCTAAACTCGAAACCTGCAACTCTCCTTTGGCCCCAAGGCCTCTCGCGGGGATCAGCTCGAAGGCGCTGCCACCGCGTAGGGCTGGAGATCGGGGTCTTACTTGGGATTTAAGGTTTAGGGGTTTATAGGGATTTGGGATTTAAGGTTTAGGGGTTTAGAGTTTACGGATTTGGGGTTTAGGGGTTTAGGGTTTAGGGGTTTAGGGGCTTAGGGGTTATCGGTTTTGCGGTTTTGGGGTTTGGGGTTTCGGGGTTTAGGGGTTTGGGGTTTAGGCGTTAGTGGTGTAGGGGTTCAGGGGTTTAGGGTTTAGGGTTCAGGTTTTAGGGTTTCGGGGACGCCCACAAGGTCCTAAATACGTACCTTTAGTATAATGGATATCGATAATGGGTACTAGGGGCTTATACAACTTACATACAGGGTCTTGGGATTCTACCTACTGACCTTTAGGGTAGGGCTGTGTTTAGGGTTCAGGGCTTATGCTTTAGGCTTCAGGATTCAAGGTTTAGGATCCGGGGATGTTACCTTTAGGGGCGGGTCAAGGGTCTAAACGGCTTAAGTGGCTTCGGGTTTAGGGTCGGGTTTAGGGTTTATGGCCATAGCCTACCTTTCATTTATTAGGCTACCCGTTTTTTTCTACATAACAGATCCGGGGCGTCGGGATTGCCAAAGGTTCCCAAATACCTATATGAGCCTATGGGGCCCCTACAAGTTCTATATTAGGGTTGGACATGTGAACCGAGGGTACCCTAGTCTTCTGGGTCAGGTTCTTAATTTTTTGGGTGCTATCCATCACCAAGGAAATTTAGAATTGAAAACTAAATTTCCCAACCCGCGAAAGCTTTTGTTTCAATCCCCAGTGGTGTCATGCCGCTGCGGGCGGCCGTATTCCACCGAGACGGAGCCGTTCGCCACCAAACCGTGGAAAATTAGAATCGAAAAAAAAATCCATACCAGCCTCCTCCTGGCCCTGTGGTCCTTGGCCCAAGCCACACCCCCGGCACCAGGAAATTTAGAATCCAAAAGTAAATTTTCTAGAGGGCCCCTGGCCATGCCCTCCGCCCCGAGTCCTTTCGACGAGCTGTGGAAATTAGAATTGAAAACTACATTTTCCAGACCCCCATGGCCCATCGCCCCCCACAAGGAAATTTAGAATCCGAAGGTAAATTTCCTGAGAGCCCTCAGTCAAGGTACCAATCGGATAAGAACGTGGTTAAGAACCTCAGCCTACCCTAGCTGCTCCACCGGCAAAATCACATGTAATGGAAAATAAGAACCTTAGGGCAGGCTACTCTCGCCGAACGGGGTTCTTATACAGGGTTTTCAATGTACATAACAGCCAAAGCATACACTATATGGCTACAATGGGTTAGGGTAGCAGTTCTATAAGGTTTAGGATTTCGGTTTAAGGAGTCGGCGACCTCGCGAAACCGGGGCGGATATGAACACTGTCCGGGATCCGGGCCTGCCCTCCGGCAGGCATCCAGTAGTGGTCGAAGGTGATCTGCACAGGAAGGGCGTGTTGGATTCGTAAAACCTCTCGGTCTGAGTGTTGCAGGTACTAATTAGGATCCTTGTAGTCACCGTATGCATGTCGTATTCTAGGCTTCGTGCTCAGGTAACCGGGTGTGGATGGTTAGGCATGGTGTCATCATCCTTCCTCTCTGCTGCCGAGACATGATATGACGGTCGCTCGAACAGTGCGTTGGTTGCCAGGCAAAGGTTCTCATGTTCTGACTATATCCCCCTTAGAATCATAATAAAACCACATCTTTATCATTCTCTTGGGTTTTCTTTGAACAAAAATACAAAATAATCCCTAAGGAGACTATGGCTGATCAACGAAACTTGAGGTCCAGGCGAGCAGTTTGATTGATGAGCTGAATGCTGTGCGACTGAAGTGAAGACATGCGCACACAGATCATGCAGAAGTCTCAACAGACATTTCGCGATATTGCTTAAGCACAGCCTGTCTAGAGGTAGGGCTTACACTCAGCCAACAGTAGATCCATTGTCATTATGCAGGCACTATAACTAGCCAGAGAGCTTTGGCCTCTGATTCAAACCATATATCGCCAAAACATTGACAACCTGAACCACAAGACTCAGCAAAGCCCACATGGATCCTTTATGGAATCTCTGCAGAGATCCTTGCTGCTAACCCTGAGGCCCCAAATCGGACAAACCCTAAACCCTTAACCCTAAACCCCTAGACCCTAAACCCTTAGCCCTAAACCCTAAACCCTACACCCTATAGATCCCTTAAAGGAACCCTTAAAGATCTCTTTAAAGCAACCCTCTGAAACCCCGACATCGAGCAAGGCGATGCCTCGTTTGGCAGCAGCTCTTTCACCAAGAAGCCCTGAGGCTCTGGGTCCAGGGCTCTTCGGGGGCTTAAGGGGTCCTTAATAACAAGACCCAAGAGTAACCTAGGAATAAAAAGGGTGCCCTTTTTGGTTTAAAGGGGCTTATAAGGGAACCTGAACCCTAAAAAAGGGAATAAGGGCCTACTCTGGGTCCTAGATAATTAGAATAAGGCTATGGGGGCCCTTTTTTCTTTCATGAGGCCCTGTGTCCAGATACGAACGCGCCTACTGCATAGCGAATTCACTCACAAACTTTTTTGGGGGGCCCATTATACTAAAAATACAATAAGGAACCACCCAAGCTTACCTTTGGTTAGTAGGGAATGGAAGAATGGTGGTAATAGTAGTTATAATTGTACCCCATTCCTCCATCCCCTACTAACCAGAGGTAAGTAAGGGGTCCTGTAAGGCATCTACATACATTTGGGGCTTAAGTATTTAGGGTTCACAGGTTTAAGCGTTTGCAGGGGAAGGGCTTCTAAGTTGTAGGGTAAGTGTATAGGAGTTACTAGTGCCTGGTGTCTCCACGTACGCAGGGCTTACTGGGCGACTGCTGCAGACCCTCGAAACGTTTCAAGCTTTGCTGTTTCTTACCGAAGGACTCTAACGAAAGTACGCTGACCCGATCCTCCTGTCCAGAGACTCCTAAACCCCAGCCGTCGTAAGGTTCAAAAACCGTTCGGGCGCTAGTATCCCCCAGATTGACTATTGACTGTAGCTTGGATGCGTAACGAATTCTGTAATCCCAAACCCAACCCAAAGCAAGCCCTAAAGCCTGTAGGAGACGCCCCAGACCCTAATCAACCCTGAACCCTAAACCCCGAAACCCTAAACCCTAAACCCCTAAATCCTAAACGCCTAAGCCCTGAACCCAAAACCCTTAAACCCTAAACACCTAAACCCCTAAACCCTATAGATCCTAAACCCCTAAACCCTAAACCCTGTAAGAGCCCGGCCGAGGTCACCATGATCACCGAGATGATCGCCGACTGACATGGGTTTCGGGTCCTAGGGTTCCTTTAAAGGTTCCTTCAAGGGTTCCTTTAAGGGTTCCTTTAGGGGTTCCTTTAAGGGTTCTATAGGGGATCTGAAAGGGACTAGGGTTTAGGGGTGCCTTACTTTGGGGTCCTTATAATAAAGATCCTACAACTTAGGGTACTATACTAGGGTCCCCTCTTTTCGGGAACTCCCACATTCAAGGCGTGCCGGGAATCTCTTCAGCTTCGCTGTGCGGTGCTTATGATATACCGGGTACCTAACAAGCTACTCTTTTTAAGGAAGTCTTTGAGGAAACCATGCCAAGGAACCCCATAATATATGGGTTTCAAGCTTTAGGCACATGGGGTTCTGACAAGGCCTATACAAACCCACAAAGCTAAACAACAAGCTGCAGGGCCATAACATGCCATAGCCCTGAGAACCGAGACCCTGATAGCAAGCCTTCACAAGTGCTCCAAAAAATCCTCAGCCAATAAGTAAGCCCTTACAGTAGAAGCCAGAAAGTTGGAACATCAGTCCTTAAGGTAAAGCATAGGGAATCCTAGCACCAATCATCCTTAATCCACGTTTCAACTTTCTGGGATCCACTGTAACCCTGCACCCACAGCCTCCACGATCCAAATCCAAAGCCTGTAACAAAGCCCCAAACCCAACGTCTCTCAGGCCAAAACACTGAACCCAAAAGCCCCATAAATCTTAAGCCCGAGATCCTAAACCCTACCACCCTAAACCCTAAACCCTGAACCCTAAACCCCTAAATCTTAAGCCGGAGATCCTAAACCCTACCTACATTCTGTTGACATTCCCCCAGAGGGAGCGAGGGTTAACTCATTGGCACTGGGGGGTTTAGGGTTGAGGGCTAGAATCTGGGTTTAAGGTGAAAGCCAGAAAGTTGGAATATGATTATCCTAACCCTTCTATGGTAAAATATATAGGGTATCCTACCATTAATCCATATTCCAACTTTCTGGAGTTCCCTTTAGGGGCTTGGTGTTCAGGGTTTGAGGTTTGGGGTTTAGAGCTTAGGGTTCGAAACGAGCGGTTCAATTCATCCGCAAAAGGATGAACGAAGAGTGAACCTAATGCCAACACATGTGTATATTTAAATATATACATAATGTGCGAACCCATGTGTGTGTACATATATTTTTTCTACATATATGTACATATGTATATATATATATATACATATGTATAATGCCCGGATGTGTATACATACATGAGCTGAAGTTGTGCGAATTTTACTAACAGGGGAGCACTGGACCGTAAGTGTTGATAGTCCTGTTCCTGAATGCTGATCCAAGCTGCCCACCCCCTAAGGTCAAGACCGAAAGCAACCGAATAGCCTAAACCCCTAAGGGAGGTATCTTAGAGTTCAGGCATACCTTAAGCTGGCTTTGTGCAGCTCGGGGATCAATCAGAATTCTTCTAGCCGCAAGCTCGCAGGGAGCACCAGAAGGAGCAGCGTCTGGAAGAAGGTGAGCGGAGCCAGCTTCAGCGTCTGCAGAACATTGATGATCCTTAGCGGCTTAAGGCTTCATCCTAACGAATGTTGACTGTATAAACAGATGTATATGTGGGAATAGTAATCCGAATGCTAGTCCGAATAGTAATACGACTACTAGCTGTAGTGCTCGTAATAAGCCGAGGTTTACAAAGACTAATGCAAATGATTTTAATAAAAATAATGATGATAATAATAATAAAAAAAAGAAGAAGAAGTACAAGGTGTGGTTGTTTGCGATGCAAAGCTCAGGGCGTCAAGGTTTAGGGCTCACATTCTGACTCGTTTCGATACACCAGCAGCTTTGCAGAGACCAGAACTTCCTAGTCGGCGCCCCTGCCCTAAGGCCCCAAAGTAGTTCCTTTTTGGGTAATCCCAAAAAGGAACTACTTTGGGGCCTATGGGTACGGAGTTCTGGAGTTCCACGTCAATGTTTCTCCACGTGCGGGTGCTGAACCTTGCTACACAACACATTCCACCCTAAAGCCACCCCTTCCAGGCCTACAGCCACATCAAACCCTAAAGCCCTAAACCTAAAGCCTAACGCGCAAATTTGCATTCCAAACCCATGTGCAAACCCTAGACCAAAAAACAATCAAAACGTAAACCTGCCAGACCCACGTACCCAAATAGTATATACTTTGTCCACAATGTACCGATATAGGGACTACTTTAAGGCCAAAGCATATACTATCTGGGTACATGGACCCTTATACCCTTAACCCTTATGGAACTTTAAGGAGCCCTTAAAGGAACCCTTAGAACATGCCAGGACCCAGGCCCACAGACGCTTTCAACGATGACGGCGGCAATTGCGATCGTCAGGATGCTCATTTCCAGAGGCCTTGATCGCTACCAGAGACTCCAATATCCCTTAATTAAGGAGTACACCTTAAATTATAGTAGGATCCCGAATATGGTTTGAGGCTATATTCCTTAATTAAGGGATATTGGAGTCTCTGGGCTGGCTTAGAGAGGGTTTTAGGGGTTTAGGGATTAAGGTATCTCGTTTAGGACCCTTGGGGTTTAGGGGTTTAGGGTTTAGGGATTAAGGTCTAGCGTTTAGGACCCTTACGGTTTAGGGCTTAGGGATTAAGGGTTTAGGGTTTAAGGTAGGGTGTTTTAGGCTTTGTATGCAGGCCCACACACGCTCATGCATGATCTTCCTCTGTATGCACCTGTAGGTCTAGATCTTTTAATCGCCACTATCAACACCAAAAAACAAAACATAAGCAAACCTAGAAATGTGAGAAAGTGCCCTTGGGCACCGCTATATCTCTGTTCAGGACCACGAGCCGAATCTTATTGCAGACGGCATTTCTTCAATCTTCACAATTCTTCTTTCGGGGGTGCTACATGGCTCAGTAAAGGGCCTCATGTATGGGCATGGGGGTTTGGAGTCTTGGCTGTTGGGGTTAGGATTTAGGGTCTATCAGTTGTGGGTTTGAGGTAAAGGGCCTTCTTGATAGATTGCCCAGAATCTCCCATATCCAATAAAATCAAAGAATGTACCTTAAATCATATTAGGGGTCCTACTATAACCCTAAGGGTCCATGTACTCATATAGTATATACATTGGCCTTAATGTAGTCCTTATAGGTACTTCGGGGCTCATGATCTCTATATGGGTACATGCATGGAGTCTCCCTAAACCCTAAACCCTAAAGGTGAGAGCCAGAGGCATCGGAACATGTCGGATTTTCGGGCCCGTTTCAGAAGTGATCGGAATCCCGAACTTCGCTACGGTCTATGTAGGTAGTTGTCAAAACTGGGGTCCCTTCTTGGGTCCTTATCATAATACGGCACCTATTTGTTAGGATACCCAAAAAGGGGGCATAATTTTGACATCCATCCATGTAGCATCAGTCCCTCGTCCCTATCGGCAAAGGGTAGCGGGTGTAGGGGCTGGGGTGGAAGGTCTGGGCTGCTGTGCCCCTCAAGCCCGAACCCCTAGGCCGCTGCGCAATACTAGGCCCCAAGGGCTCCTTGCCCTACTTAGAGGATTATGGGACTTAGTAAGTTTATAATTGGGGTTATAAGTCCCCTAAGTGGGGTTATCCTAATTATAACCTACTTATAACCTTACTTACTAAGTCCCATGAGCCTTCAAGTAAGGGTCAGACCCAAAGGCCCCATAGTAGTTCCTTGTTGGGATGGCCTTGTAGGATTCTACATATGAACCCCAAAGGGGTAAACCTCAAAATTCCAAGCCCTTGACCCCACCATCAACCTCCCATCCCTAAACCACGAAATGCTACACCGATTAAAACGCCCCTTCAGCGTCCAATTCGAAGAATTCCAGGTTTTAGGATGTAGGGATCCAGCCTAGGATGCAGACCGTAGGTGTTGCAACTACACGGTTTGGAGCCCTGCCAAAACCGATGAAGCCCACAACAGAGAATCCAAGTCATAGGTCCTAAACTCTACACTCCAAAGCCCCCATCAGAAAATGCAGGAAAGGCACATGATGTACGCCTGGAAGAACAGGAAGTACCTTGTCATGCCCCTACACTCGCAAAGCCTCGCCGGTAAACCGACACGCTGAACCCTAAACCCCTAAACCCTAAACCATAAACCCTAAACCCTAAACCCCTAAACCGTAAACCGCCGTACCTTACCCCCGGCAGCCGAGTAAGGAGGAGTAAGGCCCTGCGAATGACATAAAATCGGCGGCAGGCTTCCTAGTAGCACTTGTCGCCGTGGGAGTTGAAGAAGAAGTAGTAGTAATGTGTATCTGTATTAGTATTAGTAGTAGTAGTAGTAGTAGTAGTAGTAGTAGTAGTAGTAGTAGTAGTAGTAGTAGTAGTAGTAGTAGTAGTAGTAGTACTAGTAGTAGTTGTTGTTGTTGTTGTTGTTGTTGTTGTTGTTGTTGTTGTTGTTGTTGTTGTTGTTGTTGTTGTTGTTGTTGTTGTTGTTGTTGTTGTTGTTGTTGTTGTTGTTGTTGTGTTGTGGTAGGAGTAGTAGGAGTGGTAGGAGTAGTACTAGTAGTAGCAGCAATGGCAGTAGCAGTAGCAGTAGCAGTAGCAGCAACAGTCACAGTAGCAGTAGGAGTAGCAGTAACAGTAGCAAGAGCAGCAGCAGCAGCAGCAGCAGCAGCAGCAGGAGGAGGAGGAGGAGGAGGAGGAGGAGGAGGAGGAGGAGGAGGAGGAGGGGTAGTAGTAGTAGTAGCGGAAACAGCAGCAAGCGAGAAGTAGTTGTCCTCGTTGTCGTAGTCGAAGCAGCGGTGATGATGATGAGGGACAGCGGAAGCCATCGCCAATTGACCATTCTGGTGCCATTGAAATCATTCTGCAAAACCCATAGCCAATAAATAAGTACCCAACAAAACCCGATAGATGCTCTAAACCCTAAACCCGAAATAGAAGACCTGCAACCAAGAGGGTACATTGGTACTACCGTTGTGGAATCAGATCCCCCAAACCATACTACCGATGGTCGTGTGAGAGCTAAATTCCAGAATTGTAGCTTTTGTGGACCCTCTGGGTAAGTGTGTCTCGTACGTTCGTCATCGATGAAACTGCGCCCAGGAACGTCAGCACCGTGATGGTAATTGAGGACAGCAGCCTCGCCGGGGGATAAGTGAAAAGCTTAGGGGTTACGCTTTTAGGGTTTAGGGTAGGTTTCGTTGAACCCGAAAACCTGAACAGGGCTACGGGCTCTGACTCCAGGGCTCGGGCTTCGTTGGGGTTGGAAGGCTTGCCGCGAAGGGTTGAAACATCGTAGAACTGAAATAGGGCTTCTACAGTCCTGCCCGCGCTTTGATAGGGTTCTTGAGGCTTTTTGGGAGCCCCGTGAGGGAGACTTCTTACATAATTGAAAGGCAAGTGAGATGCATTGCCAACTTGGTCTTTATTTATTCTCGGAAACCGACTGAAGTCCAGAAACTGATGAAACCCCCCGTCTTGATTACCTTAGGGGGTACTGAGCTCTCTGCTTTATATCCCTGCTGACGCGGTCAGGCTCCTGCTCATAGAGTAGGTAAAGGAGACCCTAAAGCGTAAACCATAAACCCCGTGTATCTGCACGAAGTCCACATCAACCCGTTATTCACCCTGAATCCTAAACCCTAGCTGCCCTAACTCTCAATTCCCCAGATAAGTAAACAAACCATCATGCTGAAACGGAAACCAGATCGTGCAGCTAATCACTGATCCCAAATTTTACATCTTAAAACCCTAACCCTCCCAAAACCCACGTCCCGACTCCCTCAAGCTCAGACCCTAAAAAACACTAAGACCTGAAACCCTCAAGCATCAACCATAAACCCTAAACACTAAAACATACACGCTAAACCTTAAAAGCCCTAAACCCCCTGAGAAATGGGAGTTTCCGAAAATAGGGGACCCTAATACAGTACCCTAAATAGGACCCCAAAATAAGGTACCCCTAATTTTCGGAAACCCCCTGAAACACAAGTCCGGGCAGCAGGAAGAAGCTGATGTCGTAAACCATTCCGAGCTCTAGACCTGACCAAGGAATAATTAGAACAGGGTTTAGGGTTTAGGGTTTAGGGAATTAGAATAGGGTTTTGGGGCCCATTATACTACACTTATACTGAGGAACCCCCAAAATCCCCCGTGTAAGGGTTTAGGGGTTTGGGTGAGGCGGCTAAGGGCTTACAGGGGCTTTGTGTACAGGGCTTGGGGTTGAGGGTTTAGGGTTTAGGATTTGCGGCTTAGGAGTTCAGGAGTTTAGGATTTAGGATTTGGGGGTTTAGGGCCTACTTCAGGGTATGTGTATTGTGGTTGCTTTCTTGTCTTTGATGTAGGTGTTCTTTTGTGTTCGTTATGTTGTGTGTCATCCAGACATTTCTGTTCTCTGCGTGGTAAGATGGGTTCGGTTAGATGAGATGTGTGAGTGGGTCGCTTTTTGCCTTTTGTTTCTGGCCGTTTCTCGGCCTTATGGATTACAGTCGCCAGTCGCTGCATCAGTAATGTACGATTTACAGTCTCAGCACCCAACAACATAGACTTCCCCAGAGATTTAACCTACACTGCGATTTTCCCCAATTCCCTGTACTTTCTTGCCAGATCCTTGGTACCCTTCATGATACCTCCATGGCCCTAAACCCTAAACCTTAGCCTTAATGATAGCTTCATGGTTCAGGGCTTTAGGCTTGGGCCAAGACTTCGGAGTCGAGAGCCCAATACCCCTTAAGTGAGGAATACCTAGGGTTCCTTTAAAGGGATCCTTTAAGGGATCTATAGGGTTTAGGGTTTCGGGAATTCTAATACCACTTAGACAAGGAAATATACCTTAAATCATTAGGGGCTTCATGTTATGATCTAAGCTATATTCCTTAATTGAGGAGTATCGGGCTCTCTGGGTGACACAAGGGTTGCAGCGGCGCGATTCTGTGCTTCTGCGGCTGCAGATGTCGGTTCAAGGCCATGGCTTCTCCCCCTAGGGCTCCAAGTATACAAGTAGTGCCTACTTTGGGCCTAAAGTCTATAAATAATAGTACCTGCTTTGGGCTATTTGGAGTACCTACTTCGGGGTCTATAGTCTATCAATAGTGCCTGCTTTGGGCTATTTGGCTTGAGTAATGCAGGGGCCTTAATAATTAGAATAGGGTTTTGGGGCCCATTATGCTCTAAATAGATGGGTGGTTGTCAAAATTATGACCCTTTTTTGGGTACCCTAAATGTCAGATTATTAGGTGCCGTACTGTATTAGGGACCCAAAAAGGGACCCTAATTTTGATAACCACCCGTATTAAGGACCCCCCAAAAAAATAGTATAGGTAATTATTTAGGCCCCTGTGGTAGGGTGCTGAATCATGCCGGCAGGACCCCAGTAGCCGAAGTAGAAGCGAAGGTGCTGCAAGCAGGGCAGAGTCATGATCAGCACCTTGTGGGAGTTTCTCGAAATGAGGGCTACCTTTAAAGGAATCCCTTAAGGGCTCCTTAAAGAGATCTATAAGGCTTGTATAAAGGATTTAGGGCTTAGGGCTTCCGAAAATCAGGGGGTACCTCATTGAGGGTCCTTATAATATGGATCCTAGTGTTTAGGGTACTATATTGGGGTCCGCTATTTTCGGAAACTCCCTTGTGTGTGGACAATTCAGGGTTGACGTCTCGCAGTTACGGAACGCTGAACCCTTAGCCGACGAGTCTCGCAATCCAGAAACCGGGAGACTGTAATCCGAAGGCAGCACAACAAACCAAACTAAGCTCCAAGAAACATCCCTGTGGACTAAAACAAACAAACTCTGCCACAGAGACTTCCGTAGGCCGTAGAGCCTAAAGTAAGGCGTCAGACCGATGACAGATTTAACTTGAAGGCTTGGACATTCTTTCCATAAAATTACCCGAACCCTAGGCTTTTGAAAACACCCAGGTCGGAAAACACGCTTTTTTTCACGAATTCGTCCGACGTCTTCCCAAGGCGAACTGATCGTGACAGCGGCTGAAGTCTTCGTCCACGCAGTTCTTGCCTAGGTTGTCCCCAAAATTAAGGCTCAAAGGGTTAACAGAGAGAAGCCTGTAAGTAGTCATTTTACTTCATTTGGCTCTTTCTGACAGCGTAAATACAAACACTATAACCTCTTCTAACTGCTAAGGCACCTAGGTTGGGGCTTCGGGCTTTGGGGCCAACAAACACTTAAAGGTTGGGTTCTGTAGGCGTAACAGCCTTAACAACAGAGGATTGCATACTTCGATCAAGCCCGCAGTATTGCTTTGTCTTTGACTTTGAATGTATTGTATATAATATGTGTTTGTTTCTTTCTATGTATAAATTTCGGCGGCTACCCGGCGAAACGGAGGCAGAAGAGTGAGGAGACCGCGGTAACTACCGTGGGTCGGTCCCTACCTACCTACCCACCTTCTATGTATATGTATAAATATATATATATATATATATATATGTGTATGCAGATATACTCTCGCTCTCTCTCTCTCTCTCTCCCTCCTTCCCTCCTTGCCGAGCACGGCCTGTCGCCCAAAACAAGCCCCAAACACTTCTTAATCACGGAACTTTGAATGTCAAGCCATACTCCTGGATCCTAAAGCCTCACAGTGCAATCCCAAACCCACAGCCAGCTTCACTGCGCCTTAACGAGTATAAGCGCGAGTCCCTTCCGAGACACTCATCTGCTGCACGGGCTTCGTGTCGCTTTCGGATGTTTCAGACAGCCTGAAAGTCGCAACTTTCCCTAAGGGTCCATGTACTCATATAGTATATACACTGGCCTTATAAAGTACTCCCTATATAAGTACATTGGGCCCAAAGTATATGCTATATGAGTACATGGACCCTTAGGGTTTGGGATTCATAATACGGCTCAGGCGTTTACGGACACACGCTTCTATTTGCACCTTAGGTTGCAACTGCTGCCTTTAGTTGATCGACACATCCGAGGGCAATAAAGCATGTGTCAAGAGGGTCTAGGGTCTAGGGAATGTGGCATTCTACATTCCGGCTCCAACTATTGAACACCTGCGACGTGTTTCGGCTTCGAGTTCCCATTAAATTAGGGCTTTGTAGGTCTCAGGTTGTCACATGTATCTTATTCCCCAGACATAGTCAGGTACGACTACTCCTGAAAAAGGTCTTCTTCATTCCGTTGGGTAATGGTAACGCATCCTGCCCACAACCAAACCAGTACATATACTGTTGCCACCACTACATTACACTGCAGTGCCTCCGTGCCGGAGAAGTAGTTGTTGTAGTCGAGTCGTAGCAGAAGCTGCACGAGGTGAGCATGCATGCCGACACCTGGATGCAGAAGCTGTCAAGGAATCCTACTGAACATGAGGATTGGTCTGGAAACTCTCACCCCCGTGGCCGAGAGAGCGAACTAGCAGACCCAGCAAGAGACAAGGGCAAGCATCGCATGACTGTTACAGCTAGCATAACTTAAACCCGGAAGCCTAAACCTCAACCCGGAAACTCAAACATCACCAAAGCCCGGAAAACGAAGCCCCTGGAGCCCTAACGTTGAAACGCGACAGCTGAACTCCAAAGTCCCTACCCTAAGGCTCCAAAGTAGTTCCTTTTTGGGGGTTCATATATAGAATCCTATAAGGTAATCCCAAAAAGGAACTACTATGGAGCCTCTGGGTAAGGCCTATAAGCCCTTAAAATGAATGCTAGGGTTATAAACTCGTACAGAACCCTTGCAGCCCCTTCAGACTTTCAGAAGCCTTCCATACCTCTTCAAACCTTGACCGAATCCTGACCTAGAGAGTCCATATATACTACCAACTTGTCTGGAACTAAGTCCGCAGAACCATCATGAGGATGGTCTTCTTTGGGACCCAATCCACAATCGTAGCATAAATGCACCATCTGGGCTGCTGAATCCTAATGCGATCCTGAAGTGGAGAAGAGGCGGACTCTTGGCTTCCATCCCCGTGAGGCGTGTCGTAAGCGATTCCGGTGCGGGGTTTGCTATATATATATATATATACACACACATACAGATACAGATACAGATACAGATACAGCTATAGATATAGATGTAGAGATATAGTTACAGATATAGATAGGCATATATATATATATATACATATATATATAGTGAGAGAAAGACAGACACAACTAGCTGCAATATTCGACGACATTCAAAGATGCTCTAGCCAAGATACCCTCGCGATTCAGGGTCGCCATCATGCGGATCACCGACCGGACGGTTGCCATGAAGTCCGCCTGCAAGCGCCTGAATTGACACGGTTTAGGGTTTAGGATTTAGGGTTTAGGGTTTTGGGTTTAGGGACGGTTTAGGGTTTAGGGTTTTGGGTTTAGGGTCTGAATTGGAAAGCAGGCATCGTTGTCAAGAGTCTAAGTCATGGTTTTCAACGGGTTTAGGGTTAAGGTTACCCTAAACCCTAAACCCTAAAGTCTAGGGTCTGGAGACAGGGGTCGGCTGCAAAACTTGTGGATGGAGGGGTTCACAGCTGCACTCCGCAGCCAGTAGATTGAAAACCAGAAGCACCATCTCCTATGCACTTCACCTCAGCAGGCAAAGGCCTTGAACAAATCGAAAGCCTAAGCCCTTAAAGGGAACTCCAGAAAGTTGGAATATGGTTTCAGGGTAGGATACCCTATAATTTACCATAGAAGGGTTTAGGATAATCATATTCTAACTTTCTGGCTTCTACTTTAAACGTAACCTGTCCACCCCACAACTGACAAGTTCAGCCTTCACCCTACAACCCTCTAGCCCCTTGCCTCTTAAACCCAAAGCAGCCATTGCATGTAGCGAGGGGCCGTAGGTCGATGTCCTTCAGACCGGTAGTGGCCTTCCCGGTATGCAAGATAGGAGACTTAACAATTACAAGGAGCTTGTGTTGCTGTGGGGTGTTACCCAATGCCTCCAAGGACCTTATAGTTAGGGCCCTAGACTCCTAGACCCCTTAAGGACCCAATCATAAGGTCCCCGGAAGCCTTCAAGCAAAAGACCCTAAGGAACATACAGTACCAGTAGTTGTGTGGGCGAGGCTACATTGCTTGGAGCAGGCTCCCGCTGCTTGGTTGAGGAGGTTTAGGGTTTAGGGCTTTAAGGTGTAGGGTTTAGGGGTAGCACAAATACCCTGTTGAAATATGAACCCTGCATTACCAATCATTGCGGCTCGCTTAATGAGAACGTGTGCTGACTCGCAGCCTTTTCTGCTCTTAGTTGTCGGATGCAGAGATTCAAATTCCAAACTGAGGTAACTACTATTCGCTAGCAGAGGCTAACCCCACACCTCACATCCTATACCCCCCCCCCTACGCTTTCACCCCATTTTTCAAACCGCCTAACAAATCAACCCTTAAATCCCTCAAAACACAAAGAACCTCCCAAAACCGATGCAACAATCCCAAAACAAATCAACCCACCAACAAATACAACAATCCATAACACAATCCAAAACCCAAAGCACCTAAACAAACCCTATCCTCAACGATGTCTCAGGGGGCCAGCACTTGGATCTGAACGGGACTGAAAGAGTTTGAAGGTAGTCCCGGCACTCGGAACACCTTCGGTTCAAGAATGGCCACTGACACTCTGAACCCTAAAGCCGAAATCGTAGAGGGTTTGGGGGGTAAGGTTGCAGATTTCAGAAGTGCCATGCTGAGACAAGCAAGGCACAATCCCAAAGCACGCCACCCCAGCTTCAGCCCATCCTATAGACGCTGTAGATCGTGTATAGAATGCAAATCTCATATGAGATGATAAAGCAATTCACCAACACTCCGACGGTCCCACCTGCGGGCTCCGGTAGGTCTGCAGCAAAGCGGTTTGGCTGAATCTGGGCTCGGTCCAGTTTGCTTCAGCTCAAGGGTGCATGGTTGAGGGTTTGGGGCTTGCAGGGTTTGGGCCTCAGGGTTTGGGGATTCAAAATCTGTAAGAGGTTTGAGTTTGGAGCGGGGGGGAGGGTGACAGGTTTAGAGTGTAGGGTTTGAGGATTAGAAAAGGTTTGGGGAGTTTTAACGGGAACCTTAACCAACTGCTGGTGGCAAGCTTAGGGGGTGAGTTCGCTATGTAGCCCAGAAAAGGTAAACTTGTGAATAATGGTAGGACCACATAAACCCCAAGAGGTTTAAGGGTTACCTACTCAGTACTAAGTTGGGCTTTCCAGCTCTCGTTTCACGTCATGAGCGAGTTGAATCTTGAACGACGCGCGCAGGACAGATGAAATCAGAACCCTAAACCCTTAATCCTAATTCCTCAACCCTCAACCCTGAATCCTAAACCCCTTTGAATACCCTCCGTCTAGCTGCAATGTGACGATCCGGAGAGCCGACATCAGCTCGTGATGCAGGTCTGGAGCCTGAGGGATCTTAGGGTTTAGGGCTTTAGGGTTTAAGGTTTAGGGATGTTAGGGTGTAGGGGTTGAGGGATGTTCCTGTTAGGGATGCAGGGTTGAGGGGTTGGGGTTTGGGGTTTAGGGCCTGAGGGATGTCAGGGTTAGGGTTGTGGGATGTTTGGGGTATAGGATACTCCGGTCTCCGCTGAGGGTCGAAGGTTTAGGGTTCATGGTGTCGGGCTTAGGATGAGCCCGAGGGAAGGTTGGGGTATGGGGCGCAGCATGTGGAGGTCTAAAATTCAGGATTTGGAGCACGTCTGCAAGAATGCCGATGTGTATGTGTAGGTGTATGCGGCATATGCATGCATATGCTTGCATGCATGCGTGCAAACGAATGAGCGTGCAAGCAAGCAATCAAACAATCAAACAAGCACCACACTCATGCAGACAGTAAACAAAAACAACAACGATGCACTCACGCACACACACACACAAACAAAAGAACAAAACAGAAAACACACACACAGGGAACCAAACACACAAAACTGACAACCAAGCTAGCACGCAAAAAAAAAAAAAAAAACAACAAAAACAAAAAAAAGCAAGCAAGCAAGGACGCGGGCAAGCAAGCACACGCGCACACATACAGACATGTCTCACATCCATGGTTACATCCATCGATGCATACGTCCGCCGTACATACATCGAACAAAGCGTGCCCGCCGCATCAAAGATGCATGTAAGCTTAACTGCAATAACCTGCATGCCATGTATGTGTATGGATATTTCTGTATGTGCGTATATATGTATATTCACACACATGCAAATGTGTATATAATATATATATATATATATATATATATATGTAATATACACATACATGCACATATGCATACATCTGCATGTATGTTTATATATATATATATACATATATACATATATATATATATATATATATATATATGTATATATATATATATATATATAGATATAGATATAGATAGATAGATAGATAGGTAGATCGATAGAGAGAGAGAGATAGAGAGAGAGAGAGAGAGAGAGAGAGAGAGAGAGAGAAAGTTCAACATATAGGTTAGTATACAACATCTAGCGTACATTGAAAATGCACAGTAAACTGCCAATACCACATACTATATGCTTTGTTTGGCGATAACACCTTCGACCATCTAAAACCTGCTATAGAATACAACCTACACAACATGTGTAGCTGCAGTTGTTGCTGCTTTACAGGTGGGCATCTTATGTCTTGAAGCTAATATCCCTACGCCCTAAACCCTGAACCCTTAGTGCAAAATCTCGCAACCCTAAACCCTATAGATCCCTTTTAAGGTACTCTTATAGATCCTTTAAAGGAACCCTTATATCTTTGTGTGCATATGTATGCCAACCTAACGCCTGCGCCAACTGCCCACAGGCTCACCAGCTGGGAAACCAAGACCTGACCCAACCAAAGCCCCAAGCCGAAACCGTTGATCCTAAACTCGGAAAACTCTAGGCCCTACACCCTGAACCCTAGACCCTGAGCCCAAAACTCTGAATCCTACACCCAAAAGCTGGAACCCAAACCCCGCGAAAGCCATGGCCCTGCACCCCACGGTTTCGATCCTGGAGGAAGAAGTGCACCGTCAGCGCCGAGAGGAACTCTTCGTGAGCCGCAACGACTTCGTCGAAGACAGTGGACTCCTAGTCACATTTGGGAGTTTCCGAAAATGGGGGACCCTAACCCAGACCCCGGCAGGATCTAGAAAGCAGATCCCCTAATTTGGGGCCCTATACTACTAAAGGTACTTTATAGGAACCCCCAACTCCTAGTCGCCGCATCTTGACGCGTAGGTATTAATTACATTCTCTACGAGGGATAGAGGGTTTAGGGTTTTGGGCCTGGGTTTAAAGCTTAAATGGGAGGTTCCGAAAATAGGGGACCCTAATATAGCACCCTAAATAGTAGCATCCTTATTATAAGGACCCCCAAATAAGGTACCCCTAATTTTTGGAAACTCCCATTTTGACAATGGCAGGAATCGGTCGTATCGCAGTCACTGCCAGAATCACTATCGCGATCATGGTCATGATTGGTATCAGCAATTTAGTCATGACTGTGTCAACCTCAATGTTGTTGTGTTTATGTGCTTGTTCTTGCTGTTCATTACTGCATGCCGATGCTAATATCTGTGTTCAGCCTCTGATATCGGAACCGGCATAGGCTTTCAGAGTTTCGGCCCTAGGACCAGCGGCTAAGCCTGAAACGACAAACGTCGACCCACCGAAACTCCAGGCTCCCCGAAAGCACCTAATCACAAGGATCCTAGTTTTTGGGGGTGTCAGAGGGCCTACAGGGGGATCCCGGCAAACCGTCTATAATTGCCAGATCCTTATGTTTCGGTGGTGATCCTAGCTCTGTGACGGAGCTCTACAGAATAATGTCGGCGGCAGACGCGGATGGTTCGCAGAAGGGTCCGGAACGAGGCCTCAATTACCTGCGCCACATAAGGTCTTTTTTCTTGTAGGGTTCGTGTGATCTCCATATCAGGCTACCTCATCTATCGACCCTACAGAACAAAAAAAGTTCTGATTCTTGTATGTTAAGATAGACCCCAAGTTACAAAGCCTTACAGACAGTTTAAGCTTCAGAGTCTGGGCATCTTCTCATTAGCTTGGTGCTTTGTAGCTGTGGGTTCTGGGTATCATGCATGGGTTCCAACACTTAAGGACTTCGGGATTCCAGATCAAGTAGGAGGTTTCTCGGAGTTCGGGGTTGAGGTATCTGGCATTCGGTCCCGCCAAATTCTTTTTGGTTTGCAGTAGTGGCCAGCACTAGGCTTCCCAACCCAAACTAACATCCATTATCCCAAGTAGCCTTCCTCAAATAACCTTGCTGTTCGAATTCGCTTGATTTTCAGTTTCTGATGCCCTACCATTATAGTTTATTGAGGAGCATACTACCATGGAAACCCCTCGCCAAAATGACCAAGCCCAAATCCCGCATGTCCGTGAGAAACCGAAACTTTCATATAAAACATGCACACCACCATGCAGTTCCCCGAAGCTATGATCTCTAAGCCCGGAACCCCGAAAGCCAAGATATCCACATCCAAATTTGGGTTTAGGGTTTACGGTTCTGGGGTTTATAACGGAGTTATTTTAAAGGCTTAAAAGTTAAAGGTTCATAGCGGGCTCGTATGGGCTGTAGTGTGTTGGGTTTACTTCAGACGCTCCCAGTCTCTGAAATCAAGATCCCGGAGAACTGCAGACCCCAAACCCTGAACCGCAGGATGGATTTTGCCTGTACACCCTGGATCCCTCGTCGCCGAAAGCAACCCTAAGCCCCAAACGCTCAACCGCAAACCCTACATAGTAGAAGCCAGAAAGTTGGAACATGGATTCAGGAGGATCAATGCTGGGATCCCTTAGACTATACCTTACAGGCATGAGGATAATGATGTTCACACTTTGTGGCTTCTACTATACGCCCAAGATTACAACAGGGGGAGCTCGAGCCAAGAGGCATCCTGCTGGAAGAACTGTAGGACCTGGGACACCTCGAGTCAGATGGGGGGTTCTCTAAGTTAGCGTCTTTTTTGGAATGCTCTTGTAAGGGTGAAGTTCTCTAAGTTGGGATCCTGGTTTGGAGTCCTTCTGAAAGGGTAAAATACTATTTTGGGGAGCCAAAAAGGCACCCTGATTGGGAGAACTACCCACGCGGATAGGAGTAGGCCAACAGGACAAGCAGCTAGGAAGCAGCACCAGACAGTAAAGGACCCCTTATAGATCCCTTCATATATGATCCCTTATAGGAATCCTAAACGGTCCCCCCCATTCCCTTCTAAGCAGGCTGCGGGTGAGGCAGGGAACCCGCATCCTCATAGTACTTAATGAACTTCCTAGACCCCCCAACTACTAATACCCTTTATTGTAGTCCCTAATTACCTTTTAATGAGGAATATTAGAGCCCTTTAGATTTAGAAGGTACTTGGGGGGTGCTGGTTGGGATGTGGCTGCTTTGAAGTGGCTGGGTTAGAGCTCCCCCTGAGCCCTACTTGGAGGTTCATGAGTAGTTCTACTTATAAGTTATGAGTGGGGTTATAAGCCCCCCTAAATTGGGGTCGCAAGTATAGTTGCCCTACTTATAATTATGAACCTCCAAGTATAAACCCCTAAACCCTAAACCCTGACTTTTTAGGAGATGTGAGTTGGGATCTCCGGGGACATGTCAAGGTTCGGACTTTGGGGTGAGGCCAACTACGTAGGCTTCAGTCGAGGTCCTCGGGTTTCAGGTTTAGAAACATTCATCTAGGGTAATGAAAACGAAACAGGACTAATCTTAAGAAGAAGAAGAAGAAGTACAGGCAGAAAAACATAACAACAACACTGTTAGCAACTAGAAACGACAACAGCAGTAATAGCTGCGGTTCGGGACTGCAGGATGTTAGGGCTTTCGCGCATTGTAACATCGGATGAGAAGTACAGCTACCAGCACCGTGCACCCTTTAGAACTCCTGCGGCCCCAGGGTTTGTGTTCTCGGCAAGGCCTCGTGTATAGAGTGTACGAGCATCGATGCAAGGCTTATATTGATTAGGGTTCTTTACGAGAGTCTGATGGTTGAGTACCATGGGTTGGCCCTAACCCCTGAATCCCCATTACATGGGTCTCAATAGTCGATAACCCTATCCCCCTCTGGTCCTGGTACATGTATGTATGTATGTATGTATGTATATATATATATATATATATATATGTATGTATGTACAAGTATAGTACAATGTATCCCCCCAAAAAAACCATCAGGCTCCTATGTTTAGATCCCTAAACCCTGACCCCCACAACCTCAAACTATCACCAAGCTCTCGGACCAGCCGCGAAGAAAGAGAGCTGACTCTTCAGAGCCCAGGCCAGCACATTGCCACGCGGGAGCCTGCTTGGAAGGGCAGAGGACTTAGTAAGTAGGTTATAAGTAGGGTTATAATTGGGGTAACTCCATTTAGGGTACTTATAACTCATCTTATAACCTACTTACTAAGTCCCCTGCCCTTCCAAGTGCGATCAAGGTCTGCAGGAGACCGGGATGGGACTTTAGAGTCTACCCAGAGGCTCCATAGTCGTTCCTTTTTGGATTTGCCTCATAGGATTCTAAATATGAAGCCCAAAAAGGAACAACTATGGAGCCTATGGGTAGGTACAGAGGGTACCGCTCAGAGTTCTGTGTTATCGTGGTTAACGTGCTGCTACCATGATCTGCGAGCACGGACTAGAGAGATGGGAAGAGGTGAAGTACCAAAAGCTCGAGCGACAAGTGGAGCCAATCCTGTCCTTAAAAATGAGAGGGTTGTAGACACAACTGTGGCTCATCACGGCATAAGGAAAATGACTTGAAGGACAGTGCCAGTTACAAATAACACGGGAGGTGTCAACTTTGAGAGCACAAAGTGTCAACAAAAAAGACAGCTGAAGAATTCGGATACTGACACGGTCGCTTGCAAGTTGGGTTCAATGCAGGAAGAAAACAGAAACGTATCGTCAACAGTACAGATTGAAGGATGATAGGCCGTCAGGCATGTCTGGAATCATGTCCAACAGTTACTGCTCAATGATGCGATTCTTGAGGAACAGTTATACTACGATGTTAGTAAGCATGATGACAGGGTCATACTTGAAATCCACATGAACAAAAGCAGAGGATATCAGTAGAACACAAGCCGAATCGTCGTGGCGGGTATATGCGCAGATACCAGCGTGAGCTAAATTCATCAACCACAAGGAGTGAACAAGATTAGAACTTTCTCATGGCCGCAACCTTTACCTTTAACCTTAAGCCTAGTAAAGAGAAAAGGATTGTCCCTATTGGGGGGGAGCAATAATAGCACCTTCGAGGCTATGGTTGCATGATCGGTCGTTCCATGTGGGAGTTTCTGAAGATAGGGGGTACCTTATTTGGAGGCCCCTCATAATAAGGATCCTACTATTTAGGCTACCATATTAGGGTCCCCTATTTGGGGAAACTCCCATGTAGTTCCCATTCTGGTAAACCTAGTGCCCGTTGTAGTGATAAGTGGGGGAGATGCCGGAAGCGGCAAAGGAATCATCCTTAACTGCTGGTACTCCTAGTAGTATAATCCGGCTCTGGGTTCGGCTAACCTAAAACCCGAAACCATGCATTGTCGGGAAGTGGGGGAGGGGGTCCGATTCAGCTTCGTCACTCGCAGCGCTGCAGCTCCAAGTGGGCGTGGCGGAAAGCCAACCTCGATTCTGCGAATGCATGTTTTACGGTTAATATAGAGAACTTAATGATTAGAACATGGTTTTGGGTCCCATTGTACAACAATTATCATAAGGAACCCCCAAAATAGTACAGGTAATCATTGACCCCTACATGAAGATGCTCTTGTACAGAACTGGTTAACGAAAACAGGGACACTGTACTGAAGACATTCGGTAGGGTTTCACCCCCAGACAATCCGGTACAGTCTGCGGGGTCCTTATGTTGCAAGTTAAGAGAATTGGCTAGCGTGGCAGTGTTCCTGCCGCGGCGCGGTAGGATAGCACGTAAACTCGAATACATTGGCGCCATTGCTGACTCGATTTGCTCAAATTGAATGCCGCCAGGACCTGAAAGGAAGCATTCACAACCTGCACATGCATGCAAGCAACTCCTGAGTCCCGTCAGTCAGTTGGGCCATGTCTGTGAATCATCCCGCGCCCGCCCCCCCTCCCCCGCAGCTTCAGTATGACTCCTTTCTGACGTTCGCTTCAAACGATATGCAAACCATCATGCGATGTCGTTGACAGCATGCCTAAAGCAGGTCATGGGCCACGGACCCGGTAATAAGTAGTACCATTCCGTGTTCAAGGCGCTTGAAAAAGCAGTCTCTAAGGCATCCAAAAGTTTGACCTCTGAAATCCAAAACCCCTCTGACATCTAAAGGTACTGGAAGATGACTCCGGGCATTCTGCCCACGGCCAGAACGTTTTCGGCTGCTTGGGCGATTAAGGCCAACATCCTTTTTCCAAAAACAACGAAAAGCCCTAAACCCTAAACGCCCGAAATTTCATTGGTCGCCCCAAAGCTTAAAAAGCCCAAACCCATACATAGACCCCTAAACTCTACACCCCTAAATCCGCTGCAGTCCCTAAACACTTGCACCTCTCTAAGCTCTAAAACAGTAAATCTCAAACCCTAAAACCTCAACCCTAACCCAAAACCCTAAACCCTCAATCCTAAACAAAGCGTCGCGAGGCAGGATCCGGAAGAAGTGGTTGTAGCGCTCCAGGCAGCGCTGTGTGAAGACGAGTGGCAAAGGCCAGACGGCTTCGTACGTCCTGGAATATGGCTTCTTGGGTTTTAGGGCTTTGAGCTTTTGGAAGGTTCATGGGTAGTTATATATCGGGTTATGTCCGTTACTTAATATTGGTTATAGGCACAGTTACCCTATTTATACCCTAATAACTACGCATGAACCTCCAAGGAGGGTTTAGGGTTTAGGGTCCAGGAAGTGGAAGGCTGGAGACCTCGCCGCGAAACCCTGCATCTGAAGGAAGGCGGCAGAAGCATGACTCAACCCTAAACCCTAAACCGTGACCTTAGCTCCAACCCGAAACCTTCAGCCCAGCAGGCCCTCACGTCCAGAATAAGTTGAGAAGATCAGGGTTCAGGGTTTATAGGGGTTTAGGATTTAGGGTTTAGGGGTTTAGGGTTTAGGGGTTTAGGGTTTAGGGCAACTGAAGCCGGCATCAATCTCGAAGAATATATAGACATTTGGCTGATTGGGGGTATAGAACCAACCTGTTTTGGGGCCCCGTATTATCAGAAAACACGATGATGTGCCACAAAAATCCAGACCCTAAACCCTTAAACCCTCAACCCCATAAATTCAGGCTGCTAAGTCAAAGCCTAAACCGGCCGCGGCGCAGATGTAAGTTCACGAACCACTGACTGCTAGCCGCGGCCAATTCCTCCAGCATCCTCACAAATGGCTTCACGGTTTTGGAGGTTCTTTTGGACGTAGGAGTTTCAGGTTTGAGGCTTACCTTTAGTGTTCTGTGAGTATTAGAAACCCTAATAAAGAATTGTTTTAGGGACCCTACCAAGAAAAGTTCTGGTAGGTATTAAGGTAGAACTTAGGGGTGTAAGCTTTAAGGCTGAGGGTGTAGGAGTTGGGTGTGTCGAGTAAGCAAGTTCTTGCTCTCGCCTTGTGGGTCTGTCTATACCCAGAGGCTCCAAAGTAGTTCCTTTTTGGGAATACCTTATATGATTCTAAATCTGAACCCAAAAAAAGAACTACTATAAGGTATTTCCAGGGAAAGCCAAAGCCGCTTGCACATCTACACTTGAAGGCTCATGGGACTTAGTAAGTAACGTTATAAGTAGGTTATAATTAGGATAACCCCACTTAGGGGACTTATAACCCCGATTATAACCTACTTACTACGTCCCAGGATCCTCCAAGCAACCCCTGTGCCAGTCGCGCGCGCGGCACGCAGCCCCTACACACTACACGGGCAGCGATACATAACGCTTACTTCCGCGGCATCAGCATCACCGAGGCAACAACGTAGGCATCACCACCGGCCATGGCCGGGTGCGGTGCCAGGAGGTGCGCTCTTGTAATACAACGTTTTTCATCACATTAAACCCTATGAAGAATCAGATATGTTCAGGCTTCTACACGTCAAGCTTTTGGATTTTGAGGCCTTTGCATTCGAATAAGCTCTGTGTGTGTGCTTTTTTCTTACCAGTCGCGCTTTGCGTAAAGCTAGTACAGCTGGGCATGATTCGTTACAACCCAGGTAAGGAAGCTATAGTCCCACTGTATTGAGGCCGGGTCGTGGGGTTGCGGGCGAGCCCGCGGCCCTCTGTTTGGGGTGGTTTAGTCTCATACTGTTCTGTCTGTTGCCTGAACCAGGCCCCAGACCTTTCACTCATTTCCCCCCAGTGCATCATCCATAGAAACCTGCTTTACCCTATGCTTCCAAGGACCTTATAGTTGGGGCCCTAGACCCCTTAAGGACCCAACAATAAGGTTCCTGGAAGCCTTGCGTTAGTTATCTGGAAACAGTCCTCCCGCTAAGACTTAGCTTAATGTCGTTTCCCGATTAAGATACCCCCCCAGATTAGACGGGGCCGTCCCGGGCATGTCATAGGCTTAATGAAGAAGTCCATTAGACACCACCCCTATAGTACCGGAGCTCGCCTAAACCCCCCCCGATTAGACGGGGCCATCCCGGAAAATCCCCGAAGTAACGATTTAGGGGATTTAGAGGCTTATGACTTAACCCTAAACCCCAAACCCTGTAATACTACTATACTACTGTACTACTACTGTACTACTGTACTACTGTACTACTGTACTACTACTATACTACTGTAATACTACTATACTACTACTGTACTACTACTATACTACTGTACTACTACTATACTACTGTACTCCTATTGTACGACTGCAATACTTTACTAAGTACTCTCTATCTACTTACTACTATACTTAATAATTAACCCCATCCCCACATAATCGGGGGGGGCCGGGAAAAACTTGAACCCATGAACAAGTTCAAGCGGGCTAACCTTGACAGCGGGGGGGGGGGCGGGGGGGGGGTTTGTTAATCGGGATCCAACATTACCCTGAGCTTTGAACCGTCCTCCCTCACACCAGGACCATGATTTGGCCCGGAACTCTAAATCGTTGTCCTCCCATCCCCTCCTCCCTAGTCTCCCTCGCTCTTGTTTCGCGCTGGACATCGATACGCGAAATGCACATGTTCTTCCCAATGTTCAAAAGCAGTCCTTAAGGGAGCCCAACCCTACACCTTAAACCCCTCAACCCCTAAATTTTGCCCTGAACCCCCAAACCTTAAACCCTTAAATCCACAAACCCAAACCTGGAGCCCAAAAGCGTCTGGTCCCAGGTGCCGTGAGGTCAACTCGGAGCTTGGGGAAGTCTGCCTCTGATAGGCTTGTTAGGGTTTGGAGTTCAGGGTTAAGGGTTTAGGAAGTTTAGGGTGTATTAGGCTACCAAGGTTCAGAGTTGACGGGCTAGACCTCGGGGTTTGGAGTTTGAGGTTTGGAGTTAAGTAGTATCCGCCGCCCTGCCGTGAACTCTAGACTCAAACTCTAGACCCTGAGGAGGTGCTCCGAGAGCGGAGGTTTTGAGGGAACCAGGTTGCTGCTGTGGTCTCCAAAGCATGACCTGAAGATGTCGACGTCAGACCCAAAACCACAAATCCTACACTTCCTGTAGCTCACACTAAGCCCTCCTCATATATGATCCCGGTTCTCGGTTCACCGACCCCCCCCCCCCCCCAATGGTATCCCCCCGCCGCTCCCCAAGCCGAATCTGTGTGTCCACGAGGGCTCACACGCCAAGCAGACCCACGCAGGAAACCCAAACCGCACCACACCACAGGGGGGAGTCGGGTAACCAGCCTAAGCAGACCCACCGAACCACACCACACCACAGGGAGGGGGAAGCAACCCACAACCACACGACACCACAGCAGACCCACGCAGGAAACCCAAACCACACCACACCACAGGGGGGAGTGGGGTAACCAGCCTAAGCAGACCCACTCCCGAACCACACCACACCACACCAAAGGGAGGGGAAGCAACCCGCAACCACACCACCCCACAGGAGGGGGAGGAGAAACCATTGCGGGGGGGGAGGGGGGGGGGCCGGCCGAACCGGGATCATATAGGGGGTCTTGTGCTTAGAATGGGGTCCTAAGGGTACAACTATGGCATTACCCTAGTAGGGAGCCCTAAGAAAGGCATTGTTCTTCGTCATGGCTTAGAGTTTAGGAGTTTAGGCCTATTCCATGTTGTTGTTCTTGAACCCTACGCATACACCCTAAGCCCTGAACCTATTTGTTCATAAGGAGCCCACATACGACAGGGCCTTAATAATTATAGAATAGGGTTTTGGGGCCCAATATACTATACATATTATCAGGAACCTCCAAAATGGTATTGGTAATTATTTGGACCCCTATACTAAACCTAAAATAATATCCGAGTATAGTTATCCTTCTAGACTCCTTTTAAAGGAACCCTGTATATATCCCTTATGATACCCTTAAAGTATCCCTTTTAGGCCCCTATCCTAAACCCTAAACCCTACAGATCCCTTATAGACCCCTTTAAAAGGAACCCTTACGGATCCCTTTAACCCTTACAGATCCCTTAAAAGGAACCCTTATAGATCCCTTTAAAGAATCTCTTAAGGATCCCTTGGAAAGGAACCCTTAAGGATCCCGTTACAGGAACCCTACCCCTATACCAGCTGACTGCAGAGGACGGCGCGAATGATTCCAGGAGGCGAAGAGAACGGGCCGGTCACGGGACGAGTAGCCTTGGAGGCTTCTGGGTAGTTAAAAGCAGGGATGGTTTAGGGTTAGGGTTTAGGGCTTTAGGGTTTAAGCTATAAGGGCTGCTTTAAGGGACACTTTAAAGGGATTCTGCGCTGGCCGGGTTTGGGGTTCAGGGTTTGGAACATGATAGGGTCTCTCAAGACGCAGGGGAAACTACTCTGCAAAATGAACCCTGCGCGTCTTACGGCCTTGATTTAGGGTCTATAGGGGTTACGGGTCGGCAGAGACCAAAGACGCTTGCAGAAACACGCCTTGTCCAATCAAGAATTACCCGGATGTCTCGAAGCCCTCAGCGGGACTGAAGTGGTGTCAACACTTGCTGGCACGCTCGCAAGCCTGATCAAATCCGTCTCGACAAAAACGCATGATCTGGAGTTGCAGGCTGCAGGCACTTAAAACCCCAGCTACTGCACATCAGCAGCTGTAAACATTCATGCGATTTCGGAGAGTGACAGTGTACAGTATCCAGTTGGCTTCATGCCTGCTAGTAAACAAGCGCTCACATAAGCCGAACCCCAAACCCTAAGCCCGAAACCCCTAAACCCTAAACCCGCCCGCAAACCCCTAAATTTTACCATAAGCCCAGTGGCTCGTCTCATACTGGACCGATTTCTTGTCCCGACTCTCTACATCATGCTGGAAATCCAGGGGCAACCTTGGCACGTCTTGCTTGTGCAGTGTCCTGTCGGGAACTAAACGTTAACCTTCGGGATTATGAAGGAATTATTGTAGTATCCCAAAAAGGTAAATGTTACGCGCTCTACTGCCGAGACGTTGTGTCTGAGTAGCTGCTTTCTAGGAGTGGCGGTGTAACAGAAAACTCCTTAGGAAGCCAGCAACATCCGCAAGAGCACGCTTCATCACAATGATGACGCACATGACCCCGCCGGCTACAATTCTGGCAAAAGCCCTTCTTATTGGCCCTGCAAGCCCTAAACCCTCCCAACTTGACAGCAACGGCCCTCAATAAAATCCTATAAACCCTAAACCCACCCAAAGACCCTAACCCGGCTACAATTCTGGAAAACCGGGGCCCTTGTAAGTAACCCTGTAAACCCTAAACCCTCCCAGCGGACCCTAAAGCCTACACCCCCTAGGCTTTAGCCCGGGTGCAGAGCGAGGCCAGCAAAGGCATGGCCCATCTCCAATGCAAGACTCCTTAGAGTATCCCTTAAAAGGAACCCGTATAATAGAGGAACCCAACAAGGACTAATAGGAACCCTTAGAGGAACCCTATTATAGGAACCCTTAGAGGATCCCAGTACAAAACACCGAGTTAGTTGTGCATAGGCATGGCCCATCGCCAATGCAAGAACTCCTTAGGGGATCCTGAGTGGAGGTTCATGAGTAGTTATAAGTAGGGATATAAGGGTTTAGGGTTCCTTTAAGCGACAGGGTTCAGGGTTTAGGATAGTTATAACTAGCATTAGAAGTAGGGTAACTATCCTTATCACCCATATTAGGGGACTTATGACCCCAGTTAGAACTACCCATGAACCTCCAAGTAGCACGAAGCTGGTTAAACCTAAAACGAACCACACTGGAGACAATAGGCAGGTGTCATCGCTTGGTTTAGCAGTTTAGCAACTGCAGGCTCAGTTATGTGATTTTTTGAGGAGGAAGAGATATATGTAGTAGTATTATGTCCTATGTGCATTTCTGACACGCGGAGGTTGGAGAAGATCTCGCTGACGCTCTACAGGACTGCTGCTAACACTACTTGTCTTCGGGAATCAGATTTGCTTTTGGTTCAATGGCTGATGTAAACAAGATTGTCTACAGAGTCGAAATGTTCAACATCGGTTCTGAAGGCATTTCACCATGAAGGGTTTTTGTCTTCTTCAATGCATGCTAGCTTAACTGCAATATTGTTGGAGGATATATGGCATACTGTATAGACTTGTACCGTGGCTGCAATACCAAGACGGCCTTAGTAATTGGACAGCGACTGAAGAGATTTTATATACCGACAGACCCTACACACAGAACTGCCCATGCCGACAAACTGAGTTTCCCAAAATCTCAGCCCTAATCACGGTGTACCGGTTATATAGGATTTAGGAAAAAAGCATTTCAGGCTACTGCACGCCAACCGTTCGAAATCGAACATTTTGTTCGTGGGGGAAGGTTAGCTAGCCGATGACAGCAAATCCAACGAACATGCTACAGTTCCAACCGACCTGGTGTTTGTATCTGAGGTCATATGGGAGCCTTGATAATCAGGGTCTTCTGGCAGACTATACAACCTTAGGTATATTAAGTATCTCAAGGAATAGAATAGGTTTCTGGTGCTTCCTTTTGTCGGTCCCTAAATTATTTGGTTTTTGCCGATTTGTTAAAAAAAAACACCACGACGACAGTCTTATTAACTGCTTTGGGGTCCTTAGCTGGGAGTCTCTTTCGGCTCTTTCAAGTAGTCTTACAGACGTGAATCAAGCTACAGCCTAAAAAGGCAGGACCCCGACAAGCCCCAGGTCTGAGCACCTCCTGAGGCAAACCAGTTCCATGTTTTCATGGTCGCTGGTTTCAAGACACAAGATACAGGACTGATTTCTGCACCAGCCAGGATAAAGCTCTGAAGCCCTTAGCCCTGCAAAATCAAGCCTAAAACGCAATTAGACCCTCAGACTTAATCTGACACAAACGCTTTCAAACAGTACAGACTCCTAGAACAACCCCGACCCAGAGAGCCCAATACCTCTTAATTCAGGAATATAGCTTAAATCATAATATGAAGCCCCTAATGATTTCAAGGTATATTCCCTAATTAAGGGGTATTAGAAATCCCGAAACCCTAAACCCTATAGATCCCTTAAAGGGTCCCTTTAAAGGAACCCCAGGCTCTCTAGGGAACGGTACCCATGTTGAGGACTCAAAAGACGGAAGCCCGAACATCAAGAAGTCGGGCTGCGCTGACATGTCGAAGTCGAGCTCGAGAGCCGGTGCAACCGCGTCCGCTCCGAAGAAGACCTGGGACTTTGTAGGGTCTATTATAGGGTTTAGTGTTAAGGGTAGAGGGTTTAATATTAAGGTTATAAGGTTTGTTATATGGTTTAATATGAAGGTTATAGGGTTCACTATAGAGTTTAGTATTCAGGTTTTAATATTATTTTTATCGGGTTTATTTTAGGGTTTAGTATTTAGGGTTTAGTATTAAGGTTATAGGGTTGGTTGTAGAGTTTAGTATTAAGGTTATAGGGTTTGATATGAATTTATTTTAGGGTTTAGTATTAAGGATATACTTGGAAGTTCAGTTTGGAGGTTCATGGGTAGTTACAAGTAGGGTTAGAAGTCCCCCAATATGGGTTATAAGTATAGTTACCCTACTTATAACCCTACATATAACTTGAAATGAACTTCCAAGTAGGATTTATACGGTTTAGTAGATGGGCAGGGCGTGGAAGGGCTTGAATTGGGAGTAATTTCAACGGGGCTTGCGTGGCTTGGGGCTTCGGTTTTCACAATTCACGGACTCCTGAAAGTTTGAGGCTCGAGGGCCTGGACTTGTCCTGATTTCTCACACATGCACAAAGATATGGCGTAGGGCTAAAACGCTCGCTTGATCGCTCGTTGCCCTCCTTCTTTCCTTCCTGCCCCTTACTTGAAGGATTCCAGACGGCCAGCAATGTATCTTTGAATATAGCATGTATTCGCGGGCTCAGGGGTCGCAAATCCTCGACCGAAGCCCTATACCGCCTCTAAGCTGAACAATATATAATCCAGCTACTTGGGCCTTACGAACAGTAATAATAGCCGTGCTTAAAAGATTTAGAGTAATTTGTTGTGGTTTTCTGGGGCCCATAAGGGACTACTAAGCGTATCTATTGTATTCAGGCTCCTATATCAATTTCAACGGATTAGCCTGCAGCCGCTTCTCGTTTGGGTTGTGCCAAAGGCGTACCAAATGGATCATCTGTCGCACCTGGCAATTGAAATCTGTTAGGCTGTGGGCTGCGTTTAAGTTTTAGGATTGAACCTTGGGGTTGAAGTCGCTATAGATTTCGGGTTGAGGGCTAAGCGCTAGGGGTTTAGGAATCCGCCCAACCCTTTACTCCTGGAAAATTGGACTTCAACCCAGCCCCAAAGAAGAACCAGCCCAAACTACCCCTTCGGTTCGTTTACTGCAGGTTCTTTCTCCTTTATGTCAGGGTTTAGGCGTTCAGGGTTTCGGAAAGTATAAGGGTATTGCATGCAAGGTACCCACAAGGTACCTATCGAGGCCTTATAGCCAGTTTGTAAATAGTGGGTATCTATGCTGCAATAGAGGGTAGGTTGGGGTCTCCTCAACACCCTGAAAGCCTAAACTGCAAGGCCCAAAACCCCGAACCCCTGCACTCCGAAACCGTTCAAGTATTCCTGTAAAATGAAATCATCACGAACCATCTTGTAGTAAGACGTATAGTAGCCCTGGTTATAACCTTCCAGTACTATGGGCGCCTTACAAAAAATAGAGCAGGGTTTGGGGGGTTCCTTATTGTAACTATGGTATACTACACCGTCAAAACCTATTCTAGTTAGTAAGGCCCTATACCATAGACCCTATTGTAGATCCCTTATAGAACCATTAAAGGAACCTTATTCTAATTGTTAAGGCCCCTACAGTGTGTGGGCTTAGGGGTGGGGCCCAGCCTCAGCTATCCTCAGAGTGGTACTGCCGAGGCCTCGGTATGAGGGCTGCTGGGATTCTTTTTTTCGGTTTAGAGTTTATAGGGTTTAGGTTTTTTTTAGTGTGTTGGGTCTTTCGCTCTGCAGACAGGTTGATCGGCTCACCCAATTAGCGCCCACGCTGTGTACAGAACCTTTCATTCTTCACAAAAGACAAAAGGAGAGCTGTTGGGATTCTAAGGTTTCGGGTCAGTAGTAGGGCGAGGGGTAGGATTATGGGTTCAGGGCTTCGGGTTTAGGGTTTAAGAAAAGTTTAAAGTTTGGGCTTAAGGGTTTACCGCCGAGGACTTCGGGCCGAGGTTTGTTAGTTACAAGCGTTTAGGTGTAGGGTGTACTTGGAAGGGCAGAGGACTTAGTAAGTAGGTTATAAGTAGGGTTATAATTGGGGTAACTCCATTGAGGGTACTTATAACTCTACTTATAACCTACTTACTAAGTCCCCTGCCCTTCCAAGTATGGTGTGTAGTTTTGAGGCTCAGGGCTATGGACCTGGCGCTCGGCTGTTGGAGCGGCTAGAGTTCAATGCGAGTCTTCAGAGCAAACTTGAAAACTATTCCTTGCACGAAAAGTGACGGTTGAGCATGGCACTAGCATTCGCGATGTTTTTCCATGGTTGAAACTTCTGAGATCTCGGCACACTCACAATCGCTGTTGAGCCCCAACATCCAAAAGTCGGAGCCACAAAGACTGAACCGCTAAATCCCTTAGCCATGAAGCTGGGCCTGCGGTTCAGGGTCTACATGTGGGTTCAAGGAGGGTTTGCACTTCAGACCCTACCAGGCTCGCTGCCCTCCAGATGCAAACAAAAGCTAAACGAAACTCACTCGGCAGTAAAGCTCTCGCTCCCGGCCCATCAGCTTTCCCCAGAAGCTCAAACCTACCCGAACCTGAACACACATGTCACATGCTTTTGTGATTCGTATGTCTGTGGTCTGTAGGTCCGTTATGGTCCATTCATTACAACCCAGCAACGCTGCAGGCGGGCATGGCGGCCACGGCATTCGGCGGGCGGCCGAAGGTACAGAGACAGCGACACCTGCAATGTGAGGGAGCTCGGGGTTTAGGGTTATAGGTTTCGGGGAGTATGTTTAGGTTTAATTGGAGTGTAACAATTAGGGCGTAGTAGGCTAGAATTACAGAGTTTCAGGTTCAGGGTGGTTTCGAGGACAACATCTCGAGCTAAGGACCTCTCGCCATCTTCGCAGAATGCAAAAGAATGTGAGCTATGCATTTATATAGGGCCTTGAAGTTTTGAATGGCTTCAATACATCCTGATCCCGCACCTCAAGGTTCTCATGCCTGCACCTCAACATTCTCATATTGCTGTCCCTGAGTCGTGAGCGCTTCGAGTCTTGTGTGCCTCGGAAACCGGAGAAGAGGAAGCACGATGTGGCAGCACGCGGTACCTCGAAAGGCTCTGAGGGGATGATTGACCACGGACGTCATGCATGCGCGCCAGACACACACACACACACTCTCCTTCTCTCTCTGCCTCTCTCGGTCTCTCTCTCTCTCTCTCTCTCTCTCTGCCGCGCGTGCTCTTTCCGCAAGTAGGCCGCCAGAATTTTGTAGTTGAGCAAGGCGAAGCCTTCCATTTTTGCCTGCCGCCGAATTGCAATAGTACTGCCACACCAGGACCTGCGTGTCTTCAAGCGTAATGGCAACATGGCATGTGTGGCATGCTCGTGTCTCGGTTGTCCGCGCGCGAACATGTGTCTGCCTGCGTGGTTGCATCGTTTGGTCGCGTAGTTCTCGGAAACTGAACCATACAGAATTAGTCGCTCTTGTTTTCTGGACATACCGAAAACTATGGTTCTCCCGAATGGGCGCAAGCCTGCGAAATACCAAATGCCCGTGTAAGTTGTCGCACGATGTGAGAAAATGGCTGTCATGTGTCCGCCTGCTTTCAACCAAAAACAGATTATTGACAACGTGCAAGTGCAAAAGATGCTGAGCGTTCGTTTTGTTTGTGTTTGCTCAGGTCCACGAACCATGTTCAGGAAAAATCTGCATCGAGGCCATGGAGTAGAGGAGTATCTCTGCATCTCCGTCTCTGTGTCTCTCTCTCTCTCGCTCTCTCTGTCTCTCTCGCTCTCTCGCTCTCTCGCTCGCTCTCTCTCTCTCTCTCTCTCTCTCTCTCTCTCTCTCTGCTTTTCTTTGAATCTTTCGCTCTCTCGCGCACTCTCTTTCTCTCTTTCTGTCTTTCTTTCTCTCTCTCTCTCTCGCTCCCTCTCTCTGTTGTCAGCCGCGTACTACATGCAGAAGGATGCATGTATCTCAGGATAATTTTGGGCCCGACAGCAATGTGGGACCGCAGGGGGCCAGTAGGACCCCACACGAATATTCACAGGAACCCTTAGGGCGGTAGGGGGGCGGGGGGTAGGGGATCTTAACCTATAATAAGGACTTAATAATTAGGCCTGTTTAAGGAACTATAGTCCCCTACCCTCCTCCTCCTTACCCCCCTAAGCGCCCCTATGAAATATACTTTACAGGTGAATGGGCCGATAAGGCCTCTCTATCACACTTGAATCTAGCTTAACCTACCAAACGCTACTTTTTTGCAGGGTCCCTATAAATTCAATATTAGGGTTTAGAATAAGAACCTACCAAAAAGTAGGGTTTGGTAGTTGAAGGTCGGGGCACACTGGCAGTGCAAAAGTCGTAACACACGAGCACATGTAAAATAAACGAGCACGCAGACTCTTGTGCAACCAAAGCCTACAAATCCCATCCTGTCTATATAGTGCCTTCTTTATGTCCTGGCGAACATCTGATGTCCTAAACACTAAACCCCAAAACCCTAAACCCCAAAACCCTAAACCCCAAAACCCTAAACCCCAAAACCCTAAACCCCAAAACCCTAAATCCAAAACCCTAAACCCCAAAACCCTAAAACCCAAAACCCTAAACCCCAAAACCCTAAACCCCAAAACCCTAAACCCCAAAACCCTACACCTGGTCGCCTCATTGCTCGTCCAGAAACGACATTAGCCCTCTAAGGGCCGTATACGATTCCCCAAAGCATCCCAGGTACTGTTATGGGGGATACTGTTTAGGGTGTATAGGGTTTAGGGTTTAGGGTTTATGGGGGATACTTCCCCAAATCATACTAGCAATTCCGATTATAGAAACCTTACATTCTACCATATAGGTACTTTGGAGCCTTTGGGTTCTACAAGGGCTTTACGGGTTTCTGGGTTTCCAGAAAAGGAACACCGGACACCTGGGACGAATAGACAGCGGCGGAAGATCCTAGACGCGATCCCTATAAAACTGTATGTAAAAAAATACGTCTAAACGCAAAAACCCCGAAGCCACACGTGCCAGCGTCAGAAACCCCCAACACACCAAGACCCTCGACACCAAAACTGTGCGACTCCAGCTCACAAGCCCCGAAGCAAACAATAAGGAAGGCGTTAACAACCCCTAAACCCTAAAACCCTAATAGCCCGGCGCCCCTAAGTCCTAGCCTGAACTCGAAGCTGAGACGCTAAGTACGACACGAAACCTAAAAGCACACGCCCAATTAAACAGGGGAGAATGAAGCGAAAGGCGGTTTTTGATTTGTCCAGGTTTAGGGTTTAGGGGTTGGGGTTTAGGGTTTTGGGGTTTAGGGCTTTGGGCTTTAGGGTTCTGTAAGCCTTGAACAGCACATGGTGAAGCAACATGAACTAAAGCAGCAGTCCTAAACCCTAAACCATGCTTGGTTGTACATGGGTAGTTATAAGGAGGGATAGTAGGGCAGCTATACTTATGACAGATATTAGGGGACTTACTTGTAACTGACCATGAATTATCACTAACCATGAACCTCCAGTAACTGCATCAGAGCCACTCGACCTCCAAAGCCAAGCAACCCTAAACCCTAAACCCTCAGAACCCTAAACCCCTAAACCCTAAACCCCTAAACCTCCAAACCGCGTCAAAGCCACTCGACCTCCAAAGCCAAGCATTCTCCCAAGGAGGTCCAGAGAGAAGGATGCCCCGGCAGAGTCTGCCCATCTAATTCGGCCTCCTGGGCGAGTTTATTGGGTGCTTGTCAATAGTAGGGTCCCTGTTTGGGTCCTGATTATCATACGGCACCTAATATTTAGGGCACCCAAGAAGGGACCCCAATTTTGACAACCACCCTATTAGGTTTTAGGGCTTAGGATTGAATTCGTGTTGCAACAAGTTTAGGGTTTAAGGGTTTAGGGTTCAGGGGTTCAGGGCTTAGGGTTTAGGGTCCAAGTACCCAAATAGTAGGGTTTCAAAATCCCAAACCACTCGGAGTATGGATTTTGGGGCCTAAAACCCCGCTATTTAGGCACATGGACCCTTTGGGTTTTAGGGCATCGGACTTGTGGTTGCAGCAAGATTCGGGTTTACAGTGAGGTCGGGGGAGGGGGGGAGAGGGCGGGCATCGGTTTAGGGTTTAGGGTTCAGGGTTTAGGGTTTAGGGTATAGGGTTTAGGGTTCAGGGTTCAGGGTAGGGTTGGGGTGAAGGTTTATGGCACCGGCTCCGAAGAACCCAAGAACCAGTCCTGCCCCCAAGACACGGATCCAGGGCTGGGGACTTCAGGTTTTTTTTTCCAGTTTCATGGGCTCTGGTCAAGAAGCGCTGAATCAACCAAAACTCCTAAACCGCACACCTGAAACTCCGAATTGAACCTTAAAGCCTATACCCGGAACTCCTAAATCCTAGCCGCTCTAGAAACTGAAACCTAAAAACTTCAAAACCTAAACCCAACACTACTGGAAATCTCGAGGCCCGTACGGCATGCCTGGACTTCTCAAGCTCGGCAGGGGTCCTCGCGTTTTCAGGTCTAACAAACAGCTCTGAGTATTTAGCATAGGCCGTTGGGGTATCCTGCGGTATAGCTATAACCGTTCAAGTGATATATAGAGACTACAAAACATAACAGTGTTTCTGTGTGCTCAGGCCCCAAAACTGTGCATTGCAAATGGAACTTACGATGTATTCCCTTTCAGGATCTGAGGCTTACAGGATCGTTTTGAGTTCCGTGGCTTAGACGTTTCGGGCTCACGATTGGACCGTGGCGGCTCGTATCGAATGCTTGCGCTTTTCACAGCTCTGCTTCGTGAATCATGATCACTTTTGGTATGGGCTCTTTTGCATTTCAGCATCCCGGGTTCAGGTGTGGAGCAATCATGACAGGGTTTGGGATTTAGGATTCAGCAGCAGTTAACAGGTTCAAGGTGACAGCCCTGCATTTTCATAAATTATGATCCGGGAATCTGGTCATCCCTCGTGGCCATGGTTGCCACTGCAAAACCATCTCAAGCATAGAGTAAAACACTTAACCCGCACGAGCCTTGACAATTACTCAACAATTCTCGGGAATCGCTGTGTTCAGAAGCCTAGAAGAGCTTAAACCGTCAGTTCTATAAGGGATGGTAGTGTCCCCATTCATACAAAAAGTGTTAGTCTAAACTATACTCATTCAGCTACGATAACAACCTGATAAACTGGTGAAGCTTCCAGTTCCAAAAATAATAATGTGTCCCAAATGATGTCATGTATACTCATTCACCAGGGCTCCAAGTATACATATAGTACCTACGTGCTTTGGGGTCTAAAGTCTATAAATCTATTTGGAGCCCCAGGGATTGAGCTACTTGAAGGCTCATGGGACTTAGTAAGTAAGGTTATAAGTAGGTTATAATTAGGATAACCCCACTTAGGGGACTTATAACCCCAAATATAACCTACTTACTCAGTCCCATGATCCTCTAAGTACCAAGATACCCAAATAAACTGGTGAGTCGGTCCTGGCGACGGAACTCCAGTTTTAGAGGCAGAGGCACAGAAGACAAGCCCTTCAGAAGGGGTTTAGGGTTTGGGGGTTTAGGGTTTAGGGGTTTAGGGTTTCAGGTTTAGGGGGGTTTGCCGTTTTCAGGGTTCAAAAGCCTTCCAGACACCCCGCCAAGCCGGGCAAAGAAACGAAACGACCAGTTTCCGGTGAACGTGGAACCTGTTGATGTCTTGTGCCAGCCACCCTGCGTCCCAAACCATAGGATCCAACAGCGGCAAAGGAACCGAAGAACCCGAAAAGGGCCGAGATTGGGGCGGTGGGGACAACAGTTCCGCATGCTCCCCTGGTATTTAGCAGCAGCCTGCCCCTGCCGAGACACCCTAAACCCTAAAAAAACTTACAACACCCACACTTTGAGGGTTCCAGATATGATTTCTTTACAAACTTCCTAGTGAAGGTAGCTTCTTTCGAAACCCGAACACCCTCAAGCCCTAAACCCTGAATGGAACCAGACTCAGACCTACAGCACTAACTGGAAGCTGTCCAGCGCGGTTGAAAGCAAAGTGCGAAGCGTCCGCCGTACCTTGGATCTTGAACCCTTGGTTGTGCCTTGACAGCATACGCGAACTTTCTCGATAGGATAGCACTATACTGCACACATGAACTGCAACCGACTGTCAATGTATCCTCACAACCTCTGACGAAGCCTCAAGCGCTTATTACAGGCACTACAGCTAGAAGACGGGCATCGGATCATCCGGCGACTTACACCCTCAAGGTTTCCCAGCAAAACCACCACGAGTTTGAATAGATTGCTTATCTCAGTCATATCAAACAAGGCTCTAGAATTTCGTGAATCGTGGGCAATCAAGTCTGTTTTCGGCCCCGGGCTTAGGTATATCCTGTGTAGGCTTTGGCTTTACAGTGCTAGGGTTAAGCCCAGAGAAAACCAACCCTGCAACCCAAACCCGCCAAGTCCTGCCTCCTGCAGTAAGAACCCTACACCCTAAACCTCTACACCAGGGTTTATAGTGTTTAGGGCTTTCGGGTTTAGGGTAGGGCTCAGGGTGTGGCTACTCTGTTCGGAGGTTCGTGGGAAATGAGTTAGGGAACACAACAAAACAAACACCAGAAAACCCTCTACAAGTAAAGCCAGAATTCTCCGGCAGCGCCGTCGCAACCAAGGGCGAAGCGCCAGGGGGTGGTGGACTGGTGAGTTGAAAACTAAAAGAATGCCTGAGCACTGGGACTTTTTGGCTTTGGGGCGTTTGGGTTCAAGAATGTGTGCTCTTTTATGGTTGAGGGCCCGTTGATCTTGCCATATCCAGCGTCAGTTGCCCGAGGATGGTTTAAGGTTAAAGACGGCTTTAGGCTTATGGGATTAAGGTCCACAAGGGTTTAGGGTTTGGGCCTGGGACACCGCATTCATAGGGTTGCAGAATTACAGGTGTCAGGGTCTATAAGGGTTGAATGAACATTCCGGCTTTTACTGTAAGGGTTCTACATCATGGAGGTTACTACAAGGGAACCTATCAAGGTTTTTGGGTTTGGGGGCAAGTGTTGAGGGCTAATGGCACGGAGCTACTTTATACTCGCCGATCCCTCAATTAACCGAGCCGATACCTCTACAGTATAGACTTTGGCATTCAAAGGGTTCGCATGTGCGTACTGTAAAGTCATCATGCCTAGTATGCGGGGTACATGAACCCTGAGGGCACAGAGCGGTGGCTTTGGAGGGTCCCTAGTTTAACCTTTCAACAGCAGACCCTGAGTATTTTTGGTTTCCACGACGTTCAAGATACGACGTTCAAGGTAATTACGGGGCGCAAACAGGGTGTTGTGGTAGTGCGGTCTTCGACGCCCAGCTCGAAGTCATGGTTGTGCTTGAGGTTCATGAGTAGCTAAGCTAGGGGGGTTAGAGGTAGGGAAACCATAACTATTCATAATTATGACACAAATTACCGGACTTATAACCCTACTTACAACTACCCATGGTTCTGAAACCCAGATCCAAGTTATTGTCCTGTTCCGTGAGGAGACTGTGGTCATCTTAGGATTCAGAGCACCAGGCCCGCTGAGATTTTTGCTTCAACGGATTAGGGATGACGCTTTGGGAAGGGTGCCCAGAATCTGTCGAGTTTCAGAGTTTTGGCATGGGTACTGCAACCTCATTGCTTGCAGAATTAGTGCGGGAAGTGTGGCGAGGAGATCTGCTAGTGAAACTAAAGGTGTACTGAGACAAACAGGGTGGAGTCTGCCGAACGAGACTACGAAGAACGTACCAAGCTTTGACGACGAGCAAACGCCAAAGACCAAAACAGACACCATGGTTTGGCGATCAGGGATTCAATGTTTAGGGTCTAGCAGGCTCACTAGCCGAAATTAAAAAGCCTTGAGTATGTTGATTTGGGAAGGGTAGTGATGCGCAATTTGGGGGATGCTTCGACAGGAATCAGGCTACTTCATCTCTACTGCTGAACTGAGCAAGAGTTGCTATCAGCCTATGACAATTTAGATATCAGTTATGCTCAGTGTACTACTGCATTCAAGTATAATGTGATATAATGTAGTGTTCCATAATAGTTGTGCCGTATTAAAACTTGTATATAGTATAAAGTACCATTTTAGAACATATCATCTCATACTGCTCAGTGTACTTCCAGTACAACCTCGTAGAAACTCTGGAGCTGGCATGTCGTCAGTCTGGTTCTCAGTACGGAATGGGGGGAAGGGATCATGGAGACCATTATTGGGGATTATAAAGCGACTACTATAAGGATCCATTCCCCCATTCCCTACTAAGAACCAGACAGTCGTAGTGGCCAGCACAAAGAGTCGCACAGAGAGCAATGCAAGAGGATCCAAACCGGGACCCCCAAAGGCCCTTTAATGGAGCCTTTGTGGCCCTTAATCGTGGGTAATAGGGGCACAATAGAGAGTGGATGGGGGGGGTCTAATATACTATAGTATGTATATGTATATATATATATATATATATATATATACACATACACAGACATACATACATACATATATATATATATATATATATATATTCATATATATATATATATATATATATATATATGTGGACCCCCCTTGGGAATGCGATCTGCTGAAGAGGCATGCGCCGAAGACACGAAGACATGTCATGAGAACAGAAGTTGTTTCAGTGAGATCGAAGCTCGGGGTTGCATTGCATGTCGGCTCAAATCCGACAACATTGCAAGGATAGTGAGAAGCGATCAAGCAAAACGATGAGCAGCAGCCTCCCCTGAAGGTGTTTCGGCTGCACGTCCTTTGGTTGACGCGCATCCCCCAGCAGGCACGTTAGCCCATGTGTCCTGCTGTCATGTGTCCTGCACCCGGACACGTTGGCCATCAGGGATATCAGCTCGGGCGCGCAGAGTGAGCAGGTGACCCTGCTGCACGGCAGCCCCTCAGCTGGCCGGACACCGCCCTCACACCCGGCTAACGGTGTGAAGGGGTTGCCCATGGTCGCGCCATGAGTGCAGCAACTCCCTGTGGGTAAGGGCATGTAAAGTTTGCATGAAAGCCTGTATTTCAACTGGTTCGAGAGCACTGCAAGGGCGCAATCTGAAAAGATAGAGCAGTCAGCTGGCCACTCATGCAGAAAAAGGATTTGCCAACGACAATGCAGCGACGATCACAGCGGCAGAGAAAAAGCGATTACAACTGACCCAAGCATCAGCGGTCATGTCTGCGGTCACTGTGAAATGAATGTTGCAAACGCCAGTTTCAGTAGATTGCTTCTGCCCTAGACCCTCTACAAGATATAAGCCCTAGACCCTATACGCGGCACAGCGGCTGAAAGCTGGTTGACAGACAGACTTTGGTCGCCAACCACATCCTTGGCTGAGGCAACAACGATGCACAACCCCCCCTGCAGTGACTTTGTAGGCCCTGGAAATATCAACACTTCATGGAACCATTTTGCAATCCCAACGTAAGCCCTCTAAATCCTTCTAACACCTTGTAGAAGCACTCATGCAAGGGCCCTAATACCTCAATATTTAGGCTTTAGGGTTTAGGGCCCTAAGAATAGGGTTTTGGACCCCTTTATCTCTAGAGCATAGCTATAGTAAGGAGCCCTAAGGCCAATATTGGAAAGTGGTTGTATCCACTATATATGGGAGTTTCCGAACATAGTATCCTAAATAGTAGGATCCTTGGTACCCCACTATTAGAAAACTCACACATACTGCAGACGCCCAGCTCTGGTTTCTGAGCCGGTCTCGATCCTGAAAACCCTCCAAATCCATAAACAAATGCCTACTATAGGGCCTTTGACAGTTAGAATAAAGTTCCTTTAAATGGGTCTATAGGGATACTTTCAGGGATCTACAAGGTACTATGATGCAGGGACCCTTATAATTAGAATAGGGTCTGGGGGGGGGTATTACTATAATTAGAGTAAAGGTAACTATTGAGGCCCCTAAACCCTTCACCCAGAGAAAACACTGCCCCAAACCACTCACCTAGGCCTCTAAGGTGAAGGTGCGATTTCGGGCTTCATAAGTTTAGTTCTTGGAACTCATGCGAAAATACCAAGGTTTAGCCAAATTCCTGAACCCTACAGCCTCCGTTCGAACCCATTATATATGTCACTTCCTTCCAGAACCCTAAACCTATAGGTTTAGGGTTTAGGGTTTGGGCCTATGGGGTTTAGGCACACCCTTGCAGAACCCCAATGTCCGGGCCGGAAGTCTCCCTGACCCACAAACAAATTGAGCCCAAGAGCCCGAACCCAAAGGGTCCCAGGTACTGTTGTGGGGGATACTTCCCCAAATCATAATCGTAGTTCCTATTATAGAAACCCTACTTTCTACCATATAGGTACTTTGGAGCTTTTGGGGAAGTATTGCTTGTGCCAAAGTCTTTTGAGGGCTTCGGAATTATAGGGTTTATAGACGAGGGCGTTGAAGGTTTTGGCCTTAGGGAGCTTAGGATGGATAAAGTAGAAGCAGGAAAAGATGAAACATCGTGATCTTGATGCCCTTGAACTATGGTCATCGGAATTCCAGCGCTAACCATCCTGAACCCATAAAACGCAGTCCCTAAGGGTCCATGTAGCCAAACAGTATATACTTTGGGCCCAATGTACCTGTATATATATATATATATATATAAAGATAGATAGATAGATAGGGAGGACTTTCAGGCCAAAGTATATACTATTTGGGTAGTGTTCGGGAGTGAAACCAGGGTTTGGAGGGTGCACAGGGCTTAGAGCACAACCAGAACAAATTCAACAGAAGCCATGAGTATATAGACTTAGGAGCCCGAGGACACGGCATGTCCATGGCTCTTCAAAGAGCCTATCGCCCTCTGCAGCCCCTATTTCCCCGCGGAAGTACTACGCCAGGTCCGGGAGCCCCAAAACCACATCCAAGACCCCAGAGCTCAAAACCCAGAAACCCTAAGCCTTAAACTTTGACACTCTCTAAGCCCTACGTAAACGCGCTTTCCCCTTCACTCCTAATCGCTGTTGCCCAACCCAAAGGGTCCCAGGTGGGGATTCTTCCCCAAATCATATTAGCAACTCCTATTCTAGAAACCCTACATTCTACCATATAGGTACTTTATGGAGCCTTTGGGCAACGACCACCACGTCAGGCTTAGGGGCATCGCAGGAGGCAGTGCAGGTGTTCCGCCCGCCCCCTCGGAGCCCAAGGTGGCAGAGCCACCTGGCTCGGGTACAGGTAAAGGGCTCCTCTAATGTAGGGGTCTCAATAGTTTTTAGTAGGGTTCCTTTAAAGGGGTCTATAAGGGCTACTAGAAAGGATCTATGAGAGTTCTATAATGTAGGGGCTTCAATAGTTATAGAATAGAACCTGAGGTATAACTGATTAGAGTAAGGAACCCCCAAATAGTATAGGTAACTGCTTTAGGCCACTATATTCAGCCTAAGCTCCAAACTCTTACCCTTCCAAGCCTGCTGCATGGCCTCGATCCGTCCCAAGACTTCCCCGCTCAACTTTTCCGCCATCTTCTACAGATTTATGGTCAAGCTTGCTGCTGTACACACAAGGAGCACATGCACCTACATAAATGCATGCAGTACATGTGTACACATCTGTTACAAAATGACTCTGAAGTACGTACCTGTATCCTCTTCCAAACCTAATAAGTATATATATATATATATGTATGTATATCAAACTTTCGTTCAGGTTGAGAGCACATACACTATGGACGAAGCCGAACACAACATCAACAGTAGCAGCATTAACAGCGGCAGGAGCAGCAGTACGACTGCAGCCACCGCCACGACGAGCACCGGCACCAGCAACGGTACTAACAGCAACACAATAACACAAAAGGCCAATGAATAATACTCTACGAACGAATTCTTCGAGTCATGTATCGAACTACGCCCCCACAAGGATCGTATAAGAATACGCTTCAGGCAACTATCCAAAGTTACTACGTTTCAGAGAATAGTATCCTGAACCTACATAAACTCTAAACCCTAAACCACGATCGCCAGGTCGACCTTCCATGTGGGCCTGACCCACGAGTCGTACCTCACTTTCAGGTGCAGAGCATCCACTCTTCGATTAGAGGGCCACCAACTACGACACCTCGACAAACCCCGGCTTCTGAAGCTGAAGCAGCTACGCAAAAGCAATTTGAAAGCGAAGCGAAAAGCCCCCTAAGTCTTTAGCTTTAAGCCAAGCCCTAAACCCTTAACCCTGACCCCCCAGCTAAGGTCGCAAACAAGCGTTGTGCCCTACCCCGCTTTGTAGGGTAGCTACGTATCTGTGTAACACATCCTAACCATAAAGCGAGATACGCTGAGAAAAAGGGCAGAGTATGACCCTCTTCTCTGTGGAAGCCTGCTGCAGGGCGGGTTGCATGACACCCGAGCAGACCGAAGCATCAGCACTGGCTTCGACATGTGCATATCCCTAAGAGTTCATGTGCCCATATAGAGAGACATGAGCCCCAAAGTACCTATATAGGGACTACATTAAGGTCAATATATATATATATATATACACACTATATACTATATGAGTACATGGACCCTTAGGGTATATAGGTCGAAGGACAATTTGTGCAGATCATTGACTGCGGCAGTGCAGAAGTCATCCAACACGAGTGCTGCGATGGGCAATGCCTGCAATAGCGCACTGTTGGTGCAGACAATGCCATCCACGCACGGACTGCAACGCCACGCCCAAGCGTTTGCTCGAGTGCAACTTCGTGTGTTGCCGAGACATGCTTTTGCATATGCACGCCGTCTGCATGCACCGCAGCGCTCTGCAGTCGTGGCAGTGTGCAGGCAAGATTGCACTGGCGGCGAGATGTCTTTCCATCGCGATGGGTAGTGCTGCAGTACCTAGACCCAACTAACCGCTATGCTACCCTAAGGGTCCATATAATACCCAAATAGTATTTATAAGTACTTTGGCCTTGTTAAAGTACTCCCTATATATACATGGGGCCCAAGTATATACTGTTTGGGTACAAGGACCCTAAGGTTACTGCTGAACCGGACACCTAAGATGCAACATGTTAGAGCCAGAGCCACAACCTAAACACAACCCTCAGTGTAGTCCCTAAGCTGCTTTACACCTTGAAAGTAAACCCTGAACCCCAAAGCCCTGAACCAAAACTCCGAACCACCTTTTGGAGGCTGTTAGGCCGTAAGCCCTTTTCCGAAGGGTCCAACTATCCAAAAATACTCAAAGTCATGGACTCTCCGCCATACCCCTTAAACTACATTACATTGCCCTAAACCCTAAACCCTAACCCAAGGACCCATCTTTTTTGGCTTTTTTGAGCCCTACCACCGTCTCTAAGCTTCTCACAAAGCAAAACCCAAACGAGCCAACCCTGAACCCCACAACACCGAGACACTTTGAGATCCCAAGCCCCCTATAAAACCCCAATGCAGTAGAAGCCAGAAAGTTGAAACATCATTATCCTCGTGCCCTTAAAGTAAAGCATGGTGAATCCCAGCAAGAATCATCCGAAATCAATGTTCCAACTTTCAGGGGTTCACTATACAAAATCCAAAAAATCCTAAATCAAAGTTCCAACTTTCATGGTTTCACTATATAAAACCCAAAAATAAACGGTCGGCACAGGCACTCTCCGCCCCGCATCCGTGAAGTTCGGCAGCTCCACGCGTCGCGGCACGAAGCTGAGCCTGGGTAGTGTCGACTTACGGGAAGCCTACTTGGAGGTTCATGGGCAGTTCTAAGGGTTCCTTTAAAGGGTCCCTTTAAAGGGATCTATAGGGATTCTATAAGGGTATAGGGTTTAGGGCCTACTTGGAGGTCATGCCCAAAGTAGTTCCTCTTTGGGGTTCATATTTAGAATCCTATAAGGTAAGCCAAAAAAGGAACTACTTTGGGGCCTATGGGCAGTTCTAAGTAGGGATATACGTAGGGTAACTATACTTATAACCCATATTAGGAGACTTATAAGCCCATTTATTATAACTACGCATGAACCTCCAAGTAGGGCGCCAGGTACCTAAATAGTAGGGTGCGGCGGTAAATCATGTAGGGTTAGTAATTATTCTGCTATTTCGGTATCTGGAGCCGGGCAACATAGCAAAAGTTATTAGGGTTTAGGATTTAGCGCTTAAGGCCCCTAGACCCCAAACCGGCCCTATAGACCCCCAGAAACTCTAGATAGAAAGACATAATTGGAGAATGATGGGACTTAGAATCAGAACACGGTTTGGGGTATATTATACTATAATCATAATAAGGAGCCCCTATATTAAACACTAAAACCAACCGTTTTGAATGAGAAACGGTTACGTGCACATGCAGGCCGACTCTGGATGGGCAACGCTGAATGGTGGGAGTTAGGATTAGGGGGACCCTCGGGGATATAGACCCTCTCAATAAGGTCCCTTTGAAGAGAGGCAGAAGCGGGGTTCCGAAGGGGTACCCTTTAAGGGGTCTCCCTCATCATGCTACCCAAATGGCTACGGGCACCTCCGTCCGAGGTATAAGTAGGTAGCACGGTCGCCATATTTGGAAATGTTAGTATCAGGGTTTAAGGTTTGTTTCTTGTTGAAGGGTGTAGGGTTCACACTTTCGGGTCCAGGGTGTACTGGGTCTTATACTTTGCGAACAGGGTTCTTTGCTTTGCCTTTGGGGTTTGTCGGCTTGCTGCGGTTCCTGGATATTGAGAAAATAGTATGAGGTATTGAGTAAATAGTATGACGGCCCTATTTCGGAATCTACAATTTAGAGCCAAACTAACTAACATTCGCCCCGCATCAGAAAGTAAAGTTTTGAGGTTCTGCTGCAATTATATACTTTGGGTTTGACCGTTAAAGCTTAACACCCAGACCCCCGAGTGCGTTGGCCTTTCGTCGGTGGCCTAGTTGTGTTCGCGACGCTTATGGCAAACTAAGCAGGGTCGAGCTACGGCTTGACGGCGACAGCTTAGGGGTATTGTACGGCTTCGCAAGGTTCGTTGTGTCATCTGGCAGTCTCGTAGTCTCTTACATGTACTTTGTTCTGCTTTGAGCAGCTTCGTCGTCTAAGTCAATGTCATGCTGCCCCTTGAGTCCGTGGTAGTTCGACAGAAGAGCTGTGTCTGTTAAAGTACCCATTGCATTGTATTGAACCGAACCCAGAGCCGTTGGGCGCAGCATTCGCCGCTGGCTGGTTTGGTGGCAAGTTTGCCAGTACCCAAAGGCCCCAAAGTAGTTCCTTTTTTGGGTTCATATATAGAATCCTATAGGGTGCTCCCAAAAAGAAACTACTTTGGGGCCTCTGGGTAGGAGAGTTCGGAAGTTTCGGGCTGCTGTCACGGTGGTGCGCAAGGTGCGAAGACTCATACACAGAAGATAAGGTCACTGCGCTATGAAGACGACGACAAGCTCACAGCTTCAGAGAGCTTTCGCCGGGGGACCGTCAAGGGGTTAGGGCTTTAAGTTCACGGGATGAGACGGCCGGTTAGCATGAGTTGATGACGAAAGTTGCATCCATCGCTCGATGATTGACAGCCAGACAGGAAAGCCAAGAAAGTGACGACAAGCTTCGGGTTTCGGGTGTGCAGTTATGTCTTGGGACCGTCTCTGATTGGCTGCCAGGCCCCAAAGTAGTTCCTTTTGGGGTTCATATATAGAATCCTATAAAGTAATCCCCAAAAGGAACTACTTTGGGGCCTGTGGGTAAGCCATCCGAGGCACTGGAACTTCGACGCGGCACGTCGCTCCAACGGCAGGCGTCGAGAGGAGGCGGCTGGGGTGGGCGGGACGCTGCCAGGGCCTCGCAGTCGTCCGACTTCGTGGGGTGCGCAGGAAGCTTGGTCGACTTAAAGGATCAGGGGACTTATAGTGAACAGAGTTAGAATTAAGGTAGCCTTCTCTATTCGTGTACATATAAATATGTACATATAGATGTTCGTTGTCTGTTTAGATATATATAGCTATTATGGGAGGAGGGAGAGGAGGGAGAGAGAGAGAGAGAGAGAGACCCGATTCAGGTGCTTGCTTACAGCCATGACCGCTCCCCAGGAACCTTCAATTAGAGACCCCAAACCCTCCTCCGCAAAGGCTCTACGACGATCTTCAACCTGAACTGCCCATCTCATGAAAACCAGCACAAGTCTGCAGCAGCAGCAGCTAACCCTCAAGCGTAAACCCCTACACACCGGGTTGAACATCATAAGGTTTAGGGGTTGAGGATGTTTCTGCCCCTCCCCACACAAACTTTGTGCCAATGTCCCAAAACCCTGAAGCCTACTTCGAGGTTCGTGGGTTGCTATAGATGGTGTTACAAGTCCACTTATATGGGTTATTAAGTATAGTTACCCCGCTCATTCACTCTACTTATAACTACCCCTGAACCTCCAAGTAGCCCTAAATCGTCAAACCGAAATCCGCAAAGCCTAGCTTGAAAGATACCAGGCAGCCAAAGTGCACTGAACTTCAGACCCTTAAAGCTCAAAACCCTGAAGTCCCTGAACCTACAAGCATGAGCCAAAGACTCCATTTCGCTGAACCCTGCGATCCCAAAAGTCTAACCCTAAGGCTCAAAATCGCCCAAAACCTCATATAGTATGGTCTTTGGGCCCAACAGCCTCAAAATGTCAGTCCTTCAAGCCTTAGGGTAAGCCTTAAACCCTGAATGCCTGCCCTCAGCTCTAATAGATCGTGCGTTTCTGGTCTTGGACATTGGAGTTGAATTGCTGAGTCTTTGGGCTACGTCCTAATCCCTTGAACCCTAGACACTGGTACATACTAAATCATTGACAACCGAAGCCCAATACTAAAACCTTATGTCTGTGCACCCAACCCTGAATCCTAAAACCTTACGTGCTAGCCCCTGAAAGCCCTGAACCTCCGAATCCTACACCCTTTCGTGTTAAAAACCCAAAGCACAGACTCATGTACCTTCATACCCTAACACCTTCGAGCTTCAATCCTAAACCCTCGCCCAGATCTAAACCCCTGAACCCTCAACCCCTAAAGCTCTAAACTCAACAGTCTCTAATCCCACAACACCTCACCCAGAGAGCCCAATACCCCCTAACTAAGGAATAGACCTTAAATCATAATACGAAGCCCCTAATGATTGAAGGTATATTCCTTAATTAAAGGGTAATACGAAGCCCCTAATGATTGAAGGTATATTCCTTAATTAAGGGGGGTATTGGGCTCTCTGGGCAACCCTCAACCCCCGTCAACACGTAACCACCAAGGGCCTTGGGCATCGGGGCCCTCATGCTCAGACATCGCCGCAGCCCAGGGGCCTTTGGGTTAAGGTTTTGACTTTAGGGCAAAGCAAGGTCTTGAAAAACTAACCTCAACGCAAATACCTTCTTCCCGGGTCTTTTGGACCCCAGCAAAATAAACATAGACCCCTTATAGAAACCGCATATTGATTGCAGTTTTAGGTCCTTCACGGCCTTCGGGTTAAGTCGGCTTTGGGGCAGAAGCTGGTCAAATAGAAAAGAGGCCTCGTACAGCCCCTGCAGCCCTGTAGAGAACCCTGTAAACCGTCAACCTCATCTGCACAATATAGGAGCCTGCATGAGTATAGGGTTAGGGGGTATGCTCTAGCATACGCATCAGTGGACTATCAGGGATACTACTTGTAGCTATTCGACTTGTGTAGTAGATCCAGCCCGAGATTAAGCCCTTCAACCCAACACCCATACATCTCGGCCCCAGACTCTAAACCCTGGACCCTAAACCCTGAACCCGAACCCAAACCCCAAACCCTAAACTCCTAAACCCCTAAAACCTAAACCCGTAAACCCCTGAGCCCGAAACCCTCAACCCAAACCCATGTACACTACACCCAGAGAGCCCAATGCCTCTGAATTAGGGAATATACCTTAAATCATAATATGAAGCCCCCAGGCACAGGTGCCTGCTTGCAGCTCCCTCTCGGCGTTCCACGGGGGTCGCCCCTGCAGAAGCCTCGGCCCCGTTATTGTTGTCGGGAGTAGGTTTAGGGGTTGAGGGGTTTAGGGTTTAGGGGTTTAGGGGTTTAGAGGTTTAGGGGTTTAGGGGTTTTGAGTTTAGGGTTTAGGGGTTTAGGGTTCAGGGTTGACTGCCTAAACAGAGATTTCTATATACCTATACCAGTTGTGATGTCCTTTGTTGTCTTGTTTAAACCGACAGTCATGACCGTTGCTGTCGCTTTTCTTCACACTCATATTAGTGATTGGAAATTACGCACCGACATACAAGCATACATACATCGTTGCATGCACACATACATACTTGCATACGTTCATACATAAAAGGCGTACATATACATACAGACATGCAGACATACAAACATGCATATGTACACATACATACATACATACATACATACATACCTATGCATGTATGTATCTATGCATGCATGTATGTATGCATGCATGTGCACATGTATGCATGTATGTGTGTATGCATTTACTCGTATGTTTGCGCATGTATGTATATATGTAAAGACATACATACATACATACATGCATCCATACATACACACGTACATCCATGCATGCATGCATGCATGCATGCATATGTATATATATATATATAGACATCTATATATATATACACACATATCTATATACACACATGCATACGCAGTTGCTGAGTATGCACACATATAAGTGCGTATATGTAGGTATGTATGTATATGTGGTCTCATGTGTATGCATGTGTCTAATATATATATATATATATATATATATATATATATATATATGTATATAGTAAAAATAACAATAACAATATAATATCATATAATATGATATACATATAAATATATAGTTAGCGGGCTCAACGGTTCAACGGTTAGGGCTTCAGCTTACAACATCGGCTGTGGCTGAGTGCTTTGGCACTTGCGGTCTTCGCTTGCCCTAAGCGCAGTGCAGTCGACCATGCAGCAGGCTACTGTGTTCCTCGCACTATTCAGTTCATGCAGTGTGTACGGAGTGACAACCAGCTAACGATATAACTGGGCTCCTGGGGAAGGCTCTCAGGCTACTTGGCCATTCATGCATGCGGAAAGTTCTGCCAGAGGTATCAAGGGCAAAAGACGACGAGTTCAACTGTGTGTTTTGCTATTTGCAAGGGGAAGTCAAGGCAAAGCAAAACGACTCCCTCGATCACATCGGAACATATTGTAGACGATCGGCCTGAAGCTTAGACTCGGATAGCATGAATGGAGTATTCTCTGGAGTATCGGGCTTATGTTGCGGCCTAAATTGCAGGGGAGTACCTCTACCTTAAACCCAAAAACCTACGGTTGAAGGAATACAGCGCAAGCATAGCAGGGAACCCGAAACCTCTAAAACCAATAAGGCACCCTGTAAATGTAGGCTTTTGGGGCTTACGGTACACCCTGCAATGACGAGGTCGGGCGGCTTTCGTGCGGAGTCGAGGAAGGTTTGGTAGAAGGCGCCATAGCCCAGCCTCAAGAGCGGAGGGTTTTAGGGTGTAGGGTGTATTATAGGGCGTCAGGTGTGGGCGTTCGAAGGTTTCGGGGTGTAGGGTTTGGGTGTGCGATTTAGGTCTTCGGGTCCTAGCAAGGAAACTATAAATACAGGGTATGAGGTTTGGGGTTCAGGGTGTAGGGCACTGCCCTGGTGCTCTGTGCTCACAACCTCAAACTCCGTCCTAAGGTTTCGTTCTGTAAGTGTTTGCATCCTGTGAGGTCGCGCTTCATGTTCTTACCCGGCTTACAAGAATCCTAAACGAAAACGCTGGACCCGTTCAGCTGACAGATTCTGAACACTAGCCCAGGCCCTGGTGCGGGAACCCACGAGCCCCCGATTCTGCAAATGTAGAACAACAAGCAAAATCGTAACCCATAGGTACATAGCAAGGTCATAGACGGTTTAGGGTTTAGGGTTTTAGGGTTTAGGGTTTAGGGGCTTGCTTGAATTTCTTAGTCGTCAAGCTCACCGGCACACAACACCTTGCCTTGAAGCTCCAACCAACCCATGAAGTGCAACTACCTAAGACCTATGTAGTACGTTACTGCTCCTGTAAACCCATGGTACAGTAACGTGCTCTACAGGCAACGAAAGGGGAAACAAAAACCGAGTTGCCTGTGTAGTAGATGACTGTCCTTTCCAAAACTACGGTCGATGATACAAATCCTGCATTACCAAGGATCCTAACCTATGGGAATTATGGTATATTCCTTCTTATGGGTAATGCAGGCTTTATACCATCAACTGTACGTACAGCACCCTAGCCCCGAAACCGAGGTAGCACAAGGTTAGACCCTCGAAAGCCCGTAAATTGCAACACCCTCAACCGTAAACCTGCCTTCAGTTCCGACTGTGAGACACGTTCCGTCAATGTTGCTATAAAAACATGACATATCATAACATGCGCCATAGCCTTATCCTGCAATTTTCAGGCTTCCATGTTGACCAAGCAGCAGAAAGAAGCCCTTCATGGCTGCGAGGTGCTGACAAATCTCGGCCTCGTCGACGATGAAGTTGCCTCAGCTCCAACGAAGCGTTGAAAAACAAGGAGTTGTAGGCTTGTAGGGCTGTCGGGCTCTAGAGTCCTGGGGTTGTGGGTTTAGGGTTTTTGTTGTGAAGGTGTAGGAGTTCTTGCTTGTTTTGCACGATTCTTGCATGCCTTGGAGGTGGTTCGGGAGTTTGCCATCTGTGACCTTCAGCGCGTTTTCGTATTATACGGGAGCATATCAGGGCTCTTCTTGACTTCACAACAAGGGGGTCCGGTCTATATCCGGGATTGGGGGTATGAGCTCTGGAGTATACCAGACCAGAGACGAGGGAGGAAGCACGAGGATGCCATTGTATTGATGGTTTAGGGTTTAGGGCCTCTCTTGCCCCAAAGTCTCAGCCCTGACCGAGAAGCAACACTCACGCTCAAGTTGCTTCCTGGTCCGCCAAGCTGCGAAGCTGGATGGCAACCCCGTGGCGGATCCGATCCACACTCCTTCAGGTTGTTTTGGGGGTGGCTATATGATCAGTTTTAGAAAATGTACGTAACTAGACTGAAGAACCCTAAGGAATAGCTTTGGTACTTTCACAGTTTTCTATCCTACATACGCTTCAGGGTTTTGGGTGTATAGGCTCGGAGGACAGGCTGGTGGCTCTTGTGGGAGTTTTGCTTCTGTTAGCCCGAAAATACTACATTCTCTGGGGTTTAAGGGTGGATGCTGGCAAACCCTACGGCCCCACAATATAACCTGTTGGGACAAAATTGCAGCAACACACAATGGGAATACGCACATCTTGATCGTCCCTACAGTGCCTACAGTCCAAAACGCAATGGGCTAGGCTTCAAACTTTTGTTATAATCCGGTAGCCCAAAGCCGACAAGATCTGGAACGCCAAGGCAATACAGGGGACGGCGAGAAATTAGATTAAGGTTTTGGGCCACGCGGTTCAGACTTCTATTACTGTAGCCATCCGTTACTGTCCAAAACCGAACACCCCGCTCGCAAACCCTGAACCCTAGTCTAGCCTAGGAAGAGGCTGAGTACCAGCAGTTCGGGTTTGGGGCAAAGGGTTCAGAGCCTCGGGATCTCGTAACGTTCAGGTTGCTCTTCTTGTGCAACCTGTCTATGCATCAACAGACTGTACCCACCCAAAGCCTCTCGAACTTCCTTCGGTGCGCAACAGCAATCCAATCACTCCACACCATAGATGCCCGGGCATATTCACCTTTATGATTAATTTCGGCCTTTAAGGGTTCCTACACCAACGCAGGGTTTCTTCCGAAGCCCTAAAAACTCTAACCCTCTTAAGCCCTAAGACCCTAAACCCTTCTAAACCCTGAAACCCTAAATCTCCGAAGCCCTACAACCCTGTTTCTTCTGGAACCCATAAGATCAGGACAGAGTCTGTTCCACAACAATGGCCGGGCTCTTGGACATAAAGCAGCCACGGAGGAAGTCAACCTGGAGGCAGCATTGCGCGTCTCTGGAAGCTCAGGAACGGAACCCTCGGGACCAGGTACTGAAGGGTCCAGACGAACACAGCAAAGTATGATACACAGGATTTGGGGCTATACTTAGCTATTATCATATACGGACTGTATCAGGCTATTCCTCTTGTTCGTCTGATTACCACTGCCTTTTGCTAATTTAGACCTCTAGTAGCAGAACTTGGGGGTAAAGCCCATCATCCATGATGGACTTCGGCTGTCCTGCTAGAATGGCTAAATAATGTGGCAGCTCCCGAAATTTAAGGGTCCACAATTTTGTACATGTAAGGCATCAATAATGAGGCAGTTCCCGAACTTGAAGGGTCCACAGTTTTTGGGGTTTAGGGTTTAGGGTTTAGGGTTTCGGTTAAATGTGCAGTGACTCTTTCTCCGCATGAAGTTTGCAGGTCTGGAGCCCGCCTCGCCCAGGGTCCGCAGTTTAAGGCTCATGGTTTATGCTTGCTGGCGTTTGGAGCTTACAGGTTTACATAGGGCACCGGGGGGGGGGGGGTTAAAAGCCTACCATGCCAGACTATCGAGTATCATGAAATAGATCAAGTATGGGCCCAGCAGGAAACTCAACAAATCCTTCCCTAGATCTGGAACCTGGAACCCTCGCAGCCGCCCCGCAGTCTGGGCTGCTTGGGTGGGGCAACAGACCATGTCTTGTAAAGCCCGAGCCCCACAAGCATATACAACGTGAGCCTTACAGCCAAAGCCCTAGCTTTTGTTGAGGATCCTAACTATAAAGCTGGTGAGCCCAGAAAAGCGGAGACTATAGGCAAACCCGAAAGCCCAAAAGCCCAAAGACCGGACTTCCGGAATCCCAGCCCCTGTACAACTCAAAGCCCTGAGCCCTCTGAGCATCCCATCCTAGGATGCCCAGCAACCTAGGAATCAGGAGGGATCTATAGGGCTCCTTAAAGGGGTCTATAAGGGATCTATAGTAGGGTTCTATAATATAGGGGGTTAATATACTAGGATACCCAGTAACTAAGAATAAAAAGGCCTCTCTTTTTGGTATTGGGTAACTTTATAAGGAACCTAGGACTACAAAACGGGAATAAGGGCACTACCGGGCATCCTAGCATCCCAACACCCAGGCCTCGTTCTGCAGTGTGGTGGGGTCGAGATTTCCTGGGATCCAACCCCTACGTGAACCACCAGGCGTCGAGGTGTCAGGCTTTCTTCATAATCCCAAACCCCTGAACCCCTCGATATAATCCCCAACCCCCTAAACCCTGAACCCATAACCCTGTCCGCTGGGCCGCTAGGCTCCAGAGAGCCTAGAAAGGCTTATCAGATTCAGTAGTGGGGCCGGACAAGGATTTAGAAGGCATCTAGGAGCGCGGAGCCCATGCGCCGAAGCTCCAAGAGAGCAGTCTGAAGTGCTACCTATAGTCTCCATTGTAGTTCATTTTTTTGGTTAACCAGTTTTATGGTTAACCAAAAAAATGAACGACAATGGAGACTATAGGTATGAACTGAGTACGGTCATCTATTGCAAGAACGCTTCCAGTCATATCAGCAAGGTCGAGACGACCAACCAACAGAATGGGTTCATGCTTGTCATGACCATCTGGGTAGTTGTCAAAATCGCGGTCCTTCTTTAGATACCCTAAATAAATAATAGGTGCCGTGTTATGATAGGGACCCCAAAAAATTTCATAATTTGATAACCACCCATCTAGGAAGTGACCCCACGCCCAAAGCCCAAGACACAGCAACCTGAAGTTCTTGCCTAGCGTTGGAACCGGATTAAGAAGCCTTGGGCCTTTATTCGGGCTCCTTATATGAATCCTGCTATGTTGGAGTAATGGGCCCAGGGTTTCTTGATCAGGTCCCTTCGAGAAGGAGACGGCGTGGTTTAAGGCCGGGGGAATTAGGGGTCTAGGGTTTAGGGTTTAGGGTTTAGGGTTTAGGTAGCCCAAGTGACCTTGCAGGGAGCTCTCCCAGCTGTCATCCGTCCGCCTCACAACGTAGGAGGCAACAGGAAGCGCGCTCCTAAGGGTGGAACCAGGACCCGGTAATGAGGCACCTGGGTTTAGGAAACCAGAAATCGCGGTTTAGGGCTTAGGACTAGGCTGCTGGGTTTGAGGGCTTAGGAGTTTGAGGTTCAAGAGTTTGGGGCTTATGGGGGATTCAAGAGTCTATCGGGATTAGGATGAAGGAGTTTAGAGTTTAGGGTTTGGTAAACCCCATAACCTTTAGGCAGTGCTAACAACAACGAGCCCCAGCCTCAGCCAGCGATTGCCTCGGAGCAGTACACGCACTGCTTTGCCTGGGTCCATCTTAGTTTAGCACTTAGACTTCGGGTGTTCTTTCTAAGGGTGTTGAAAGAAAGCAGGATAAAGTGGTCTAAATCTTGATGCTACAGTGAGTTCTAAACCCAGGAACAGCATCGCAAAGAAGCCAACAAATACAGTAGCCGAAAGCCGGAATACGCATGTTGGGCCCGCAACCCAAAAACCCGAAACCCTGAGGCCAAACAAATAGATCGACAACCCTAAACCCTAAACAACTACTAAACATCCGATTCCAGGCACCAGCGAACAGTACCTTCTTTGCGGTCTCCATGGTGACGATGTTCCTTGGCCCGGAGACAACGCACGCTCGGCCATCTAACATAAGAGGCCTTCATAATAAAAACAAGCTGGTTGATTGCGTTCGTCATTACGGCAACTGAGAGGCCTTCCTGAATACAATAAAGTCTTGACTTTGTGCTTGACTGCAATTAACACTAATACCTAGAGACCCCTTAGCCTGAACCCTCAACACTTTAACCCCTAGACCTTACGCCCTTGACCTTAGCCACTTGAACCTAAACCCTAAAGTACACCCTTAGCCTGGTTGTCCTGGTAACACTTTAACCCTAAACCGTACAAGCCACTATGAGCTAACTAGTGTTTCGGGTTTTCAAAACCAAGCGCTCAACATTCGCAACCCTAAACCAAACCACAGACTCGAATCTAAGCGTTTCGGACTTTCGGTTATTTAATGGGGTTGGGCTGGAGAAGTATGGTATAGCAAGGTAAAGACTGGTCCAGCAAGCTATAGTATAGTATAGTACACTACAGCATAGTATGGCACGGTCCGGTATCGTATAGCATAGGATAGTGTAGAACACAATAGTTATAGCATAGTTTAGTATCGTATAGTAAAGAGTCTTGACTCCCTGTACCACGAAGCCTTAAGCCCAAACTGCTGCCCCTCAGCCTCAAAGGCAAGATATTTGTTGAGACGATCCAACAAATCCTTTATGAATTATTGAATAGGTCCAACGCTTAGAACATTTCGGGAGTTTCCCGAGCCCCAGATATCCCCTGCATTGCTGCCAAGCGTCTTGGGAATAGATTCGGGTCGCCTTGGGCAACGAGAGAAAAACAGGACCCTACAAATAAGTAGGTCTTGCTTGCTGAAGGTAGGTGTGCATCTAGCTTCGGCCCTGTGACCCTCAGCCCTGATCGACCCGAAACCCTACTGCTTATTGGACGGGTCTAGCGTCTTGGGTTTGATGTTAATCTTGCCCGTAGGGCCCAGTTACCGATGGGTTGTGGGTACTTGAAGGCTTGTGACGTCGGGTTTATGGAGCATTTACTACCTACAGGTACCTGGGCTCCTAGGATAGACCACTGAAGACAAATCAATCGTGGAAGGGCACTGTGGCGTTGCGTCTACAACAAATACCATCCTTCATTTGCCTAGAACAAGTTTTGGACGCATGTCCTAGTTAATCCTATTGGGAGCACATGGGAATATTACTAATTCAAACTAGTCATACTCGGTCAGACTCCACTTCTGATCCCTCACGGCCCGAATCCGGACCCATACTGCTCGGGTGACTTTGTTCCAACTTAGTTCCATGTTTTGGTTCGAAAAGCGACCTCAACTCCCAAAAGCTACTTCTCTAAAAAATGTCATAATCAGGAACACTAAGCACATAGGGATCAGGTAGTTCTGTCGGGTGGCAGCTCGAATAGACTTTGCCACTCACGCTGCGCAGCAACAGCCTCGCAAGACACGATTCTAATCACAGACCTCGGAAGGGCCAACAAAAAGAGGGCCTATTCTGAAGGACCCCTTACACAAAGGAGCAGGAACCTGCAAAGGAATAGCATCCCGAAAACACGAATGCCCGACGGTTAAAGTTTGGGGCTCAGGGTTTAGGGCTTAGTGTTCACTGGAACAGATGGCCTCCTTTTCAATGCTCTGTGCTGGTGTAGAGGAGGATAGGAGTTAGGGTTTAGGAATGATGGCTGCTTTTCGATGGCATGGCACAACTTACCTTTGGTTAGTAGGGAATGGAAGAATGGTAGTAATAGTAGTTATAATTGTACCCTTTCCTCCATGCCCTACTAACCAACGGTAAGAGGAGAGAGCCTCTGTCTTGGTTTAGGCTTGGTAGGTCTCGGGCAAGGCATGTGGTATCGACCGCTCCCTAACAACTAGAGCCCTATTAACCCTAAACAACGTTTGACCCCAAACCCCCTGCAAAGCGATCCTTTCAGTAACTATGCAAAGACATGAAAAGCAAGGAACCCTGAGAAAGACTGTCGATTTCTTAAGGCTCAGGTAGAACCCCAAGACGGGCAATGACCCCTGCATGAAATAACCAAGTCTGGAATCCCAACGAGCAGCCGTCATGGGCTGCGATAAATCCTCTACTTCACCATACCTCGGCTGTGGCGCGGTGGTGTTGTTTTTATGTAGGACATGGGTAGTTGTCAAAATTATGGTCCCTTTTTGGGTCCCTATTATAATACGGCACCTGCCCAAAAAGGGACCCTAATTTTGACAGCCACCACCCACATGGTGATCTAAACCCGGCGTGCACCCATGAAGCTTTCGCCCACATGCGAAACACCCACTAAACTCCGAACAGTAAAATGAACTCTAGACCCTCACCCGAAAGATGGTTCAGGCGTGAGGATCCAATACTAGAAGACGAGCAACACCGTGAGCGAGCTCGGACGTGAATGGCAAAAACAATCGCTCCAAAGAAGCTTTGGGATTTAGGGCTCAGGGTTGAGATCTATGTGGAGGTTCATGGGTAGTTATAAGTAGGGTCATACGTGCCCTACCTAATATGGGCTTAAAGTATCCTTACCGCACTTACAATCCTAATTATAACTACCCATGAACCTCCAAGTAGGGTGTGGAGTTTACGGGAATTGCTGCCTTCATGCGGTGTGGAAACACGTCGAAAGAAACTTTCGGTCCATGATTATTATCTCCGAGCAATGCAATGTAGGAACCTGATTCAGAAGCCTTGGGCCATATTTAAGGCTTTTTATATGAATCCTACTATTTTTGGGTTATCGGCCCAGGGTTTCTTAATCAGGTTCCTACATTAAGACTGAACACTGGGCTAAAGAGCTGAATTACCAAAGGAGCTCTACGATCATATTATAGCTGAGGACGAAACACAATACGTAATTCGAAGAAGAGAACGGAAGCATCGACACAATGAATAAAACCATTGACAACCATAAGAACAGTAAACACTTAACATTACGTAACAGAGTGTTTCTACTGACTGACAACAATGATTACTCGCAACCCTGGTGTTACAACAGCAACAACAGCTGTAACAAACATTGTGACAATGAGAATAGCTTTAACAATGCTCATAACGGTAAAAACACGAACAGCAATACTAATGTAAATACATTCACCAATCAAGGTGAAATCTAAACAACAATAGTTCATAGTAACAAAAACGATAATAATGACCAAGGCTCAAGGCAGCACCAGGTTGGTAGGTCTGCCTTGCAGCTCTACAGGAGTTTTTGGATTTCGAGTTTTGGGGTTCGGGGCCGAGGCTGTGGGTTTTGGGCTTTGTTGGTGGTTTCGCTTGCTGTGGCGCTTGTTGCGTTGGGACGCCACCACAAGCTCGATACCGGGGCGCAAATAACTACATAGACCATGGTTCGAGTCGCTATCTGGAGGTACAAACTCCCTGATGCCCCAACGCCGCATACTACTCACAGCCTCCATTGCATTCAGTCACTAGGGCTTCGTTTTGGGGGATGCGAACCATTCCTAACCTTCAAGCTGGCTAACCAGAAGAGGAACTACCGTGGAAACGATGTGGGAGTTTCCGGAAATAGGGGACCCTAACATAGCACCCTAAATAGCAGGATCCTTCTTCAAGGACCCCAAAATAAGGTACCCCTTAACCCTAGGCCCTTTCAGATCCCCTATGGAAACCTTTAACCCTTGAAGGAACCCTTAAAGAACCCGTAAAGAGCACTTAAAGGAACCCTTAAAGGAACCCTAGGAACCCAAAATAAGGTACCCCTATTTTCGGAAACTCCCATATGTTCCAACCTCGACCGACAAACCGGCGAAACCCTGAGTCGGAAAACACTGAAGTCTAGGGCCCCAAAAAAGCACAGGGTTCCTTTAAGGGTTCCTCTTAGGGTTCTTCTTTTAAGGGGTGTTGTGGGGTCCTTTAAGGGGTCCTTCAAGGGTTTAGGGCCCCAGAAGACCCTTTTGCAAAAATTAGGACAGTGATATCCTATGCAAACTCCCTTAAAAAGAACCCCAACAAGGTAGGGATATCCCTATAAAAGGCTTGCGCTTCTGTGTTGCCTAGGTCATACTCCTACTTGTCGGGTATCATGGAGAACTCAATTTTTGGTTATATAAGGATTATATAGGGACCATACTACCCCGAAAAAGGTTAAACAAGTTAGCTACTCTACTACCACCAGGCCTAGGTCATACTCTATAGGTTAGGTACGGCCCCCATACAGTAAGAGTCTATAATAGGGCTACTATTAAGGTCCTACTATATCTATATTATGAGTCTTATTCAACTATTACCGAGTGGGGGGCCGTACCCAATCTATAGGTACATGGGCCCTTAAGAGAAAGATCTCTTCGATCTGGGTTGGTCCGAAAACCCTGAACCCTCGAAACCCTGAGCCCTTCAAACCCTAAACAAAAACCTGAAAACCCTATACAAAAACCCTAAACAAAAACAGTAAACTCCAAACCCTAAAGGCCCACCAAATCCCGAACTCTACAGCCAAGTGCCTGCCCCCGACACGCCGCACAAAGAATTCGCCATCGGGGTCCGACAATCTGCCGTAGACCATCCATGCGACCAGCCTTGGATGTGAAGCTTCAGACTTTCAGACTTTAGGCGGCCACCAAAAAGTACATAAGCAAAACATAGATAGGGATATCCCATATAGTAACGTCCCCTCATAATGAAGCCCATTTCAATAAGGTCGGGATATCCGTATAGAATGCTCATGCTTATGTGCTTCTTGGGTCCCTCATTCAGGACGTTCAGCCTAAACCCTGAATGGCTTAAGGCTTACTATACTTACTTCAAGCTTCCAGAACCTACTTTTTTTGTAGGTTCTTATGCCGAACCATATAGCAGAAGACATTACGGACCCGACGGGACAGTAGGTTTTGGGCAGTTCAAGGCTTTTCTGAAGCGAGCGGCTGGTTCGCAAGCACGTTGCCCACACTGCAAACCGCCGACCAAAGGCACCGGTGGAGATCGCCACTACCTTTGTGTGCAAATCATATGGGCTTTTCCATTTCAGAGCTTGTAAAGATGTGCTGTATGACGCTTGCCTTTATGGAGTTTAGGGTTTGATTGCTTAGTTTGTTCGCCTTTTGTTTTATTTTTCTAGGTTAAAGTTACGTCGTGGGTGGTTTAAGCCTGATCTAGGGCTGTTAGAGTTTAAGGTTTCGAGTTTAGGGTTCAAAACCTGACCTCCAACCATAAAGGGGCTGAGAACCCTAGCCCCAACACCCCCTTGCAATTATGGTAGGGCTGAATTAGGGTTTAGGATTTAGGGCTTAGGGTTTAGGGAGTTTAGTGCTTTATAGGGTTTAGGGTTATAATCCCGACAGGTGAATTAGTGGTTACCTACCCAGTCGCACAGACCATGGTGCATATACACGACGAATCCCCCAAGAGAGAATCGTGACCGTGGCAAGCGCCGTCTGGGTCCTCCAATACTTGGAGGGTCGGGGGACTTAGTAAGTAGGTAGTAAGTAGACTTATAAGTCCCTATATACTAACCAGTTACTAAGTCCCCCGACCCTACAAGTAGTTCGTCAGGGCGCACGGATCTCGCACGACTGTTCTCGGGAGGACTACATGCACAAGTAGAGGTTCAAGCAACAGAAGGCAAAACTAAACTCAACAAATCCTCGACTTTACCTGGACAGCGCAAAGAGCTGATTAGCGGAATAGAATACTGAAAGGCTAAGGATCCTAACAAAAAGGCTTGGTCAGAAGCAGGTTGTTGAAATATTGGATTCTCGGCAGAGCCCTTCACCAAACGTGAGCTTCGACCGTGGCCCAGCTGCCCATGTGATGAGATGCGGCTTTCCAGATCACATCCAACAAGGCCTGTTCGGTGCTTGCCAGTTTAGGGTTACCGGATAATTGATTCAAGGCTACATGGGTTGAGGTCTGTGGGCTAGGCTTCTGGGGCTTCCCCTAACCTAGAGATCCAAACTGCTGTGGTGTTTCCGCTCCAAGCCCTGCAAGATTGAGGTCACTAGCTTTACACCTGCAGGCGGCAATCATTGCCCCCTCCTGAAACCCTCAATCCTGCTAAATCCTAAAGCGCCCCAAGAACCGGGACATGCACGGACGGGACGGGAGTAACACTAACAGTACCACTGCTACTATGGATGCTTCTGCTTCTGCTTCTGCTGCTGCTACTACTGCTACTACTACTACTGCTACTACTACTACTGCTACTACTACTACGACTACTACTACTATTACTACTACTACTACTACTACTACTACTACTACTACTACTACTACCACTACTACTGCTACTACTGCTACTACTACTACTACTACTACTACTACTACTACTACCACTACTACTGCTACTACTGCTACTACTACAACTACTACTACTACCACTACTACTGCTACTACTGCTACTACTACTACTACTGCTACTACTACTACTGCTGCGGCAGCACTGCCGACAACAAAGGATTGCCCCAGGGGCGCATCAATTGAACTACAGCCGGAGTCAGCTCATTCCGAAATCCGAATCCAAAGGCCGGCTGAGTGCATTTACTCCTTGGGCCCCAAAGTCTGAAACCCTCGAGATGAACTAGGATACCCAGTAACCTAAGAATAAAACGGCCTCTCTTTTTGGTATTGGGTAACTTTATAAGGAACCTAGGACTACAAAAAGGGAATAAGGGTACTACTGGGCATCCTAGTGAAGCTCGCTAGATTAGCCTATGTTATTCTTGTTCCGAGTCACGATGGCCGCCCTTACCACATTGCTGCCGCCCACCCCGCCCACCCCCCCCCCCCACCGCACCGCCCCGAAGGAAGCTTAGTATACATCTTGGAACTCAAGGCAGACTCAAAGGCCCCAAGTTAACCGGTCAATGACCAACATATACAGTCGAGGCGCTCCACCACGGAATGGCCTAGCGGCCACTTGTGTGACCTCGGGAAGGCCGGCTTATGTCGGTCCGAACGGGTCTTGAGTCTTGAGGAATCAGTTCGCGTGTTGTCTTCATCATACTGCCGACATTAGTCATCAACCCGACCCTCCATTGCGATCCGTTTCAAGGTCCTCAGCATCACGATCACCAACTGCTCTGGTGGGACAACTGTTTCGGCGCTGATGATCTTGGAAAGATGATGGTGATGATGATACTGATGATGCTGCACTGTTGTTGTCGATGATGACATTGATGATGATGATGATGATGATGATGATGATGATGATGGCATGATGGTGATGATGATGATGATAATGATGATGATGGTGACGGTGTTGCTGTTGACGATGATGATGAGGAGGATGCTGGTGCTGGTGATGCTACATCCTTGTTTGGTTTCCCTGGCTTGTTGATACAATGTCCACTGCTTTCCGGTAGACTTGATGCTATTGTCGTGATTCCAGAGACACATCTGCTACTTATTCCCGTTACGGGTGCCCAAGAACCAAGGAATCGGATTGAGACTGCGGCCCAGCAGAGCAAGTCTAGGTTTGGGGTAATTAGCATATCATGACTGCTCCGTATTCGGACCCTTAAGATCATGGTCCATGAACCGTTCGAGGTTGTGGCTCCGTGCACATCTACAATATGTACTGAGGCTAAACGTAGCGTTATAGGAGCCTTAGCACGACCAAATTGAGATCGCGAATCTCCCATCACCTCATCCACTTGCACACGAGTGGCAATGCGATGCAGCATGCGAAGAACTCGGCAGTCACCGTCCACAGACTGTGCGATGTATGCCAGCCTTACTACTCGAGGTGGACATTTGCGGAGCCTGCTACGGCTTGGCTCGCTAGCCTGTCTAGCCCCTAGAGCTACCACACCCTACTTTTCGCAGGGTGCCTCAAATTTTAGTATTAGGGCTACATGGGTCTACAATGATAAGAAGCTACAGTATAGGCTATATTCGAAGGTAGTTCATATCCCGAGAAAGGTGTTGGCTTCAGCAGTTGCTTATGTGGATGTCCGGGCCCGACTTCCATCCAGCGTATCAGCCCTAAACACTAGATCCCATATGGGGGTTTCCGAAAATTAGGGGTGCACACCGTTTTTTTGTTGAGAATCTTCACGAAGTAACGCCACTCCAGTGGCTCGTCGAATCATCCAATGCCCCATACTATGCCCCATAAATTGAATAAACCTAACCTTGCCCGTTTCGGGATGTTACATCACCTGATAAATAGGATGAGATAGAGTATTTGAAGGATAATGGGCTACTAGTTGTGAATTATATGGCCACGGTGATGTAATACCCCAAAATTTAAAATGGGCGAGGCCTCCCCTGACTAACGGATCCCATTAGAGGTAGCCCTAATGTTCGGAAACCAAGCGGCGGCAGGGACGGCTCCAGTTTCACCTGCGCTTCGAGGTCCAGGACCTTCCCACAGGTCGGACTAACGATTGCTCGACTCCAAACCCTTAAGGACGAAATGAACCCTAAAAGGTTTTAAGGTTCATATACCAAATAGGGATTCATAGTATGGGTATAGGGCCCCTACTCTTAAGTGTCATGTGGTCTTGCAGGAAGACAGGGTAGGGTTTGGGTTTGGGGTTTACAGTAGAAGGCAAACAGTTGGAACATCACTATCCTCATGGCTTTAAACGGCAAAGTATAGGGGATGCCAGCACTAATCATCCTACATCCATGTTCCAACTTTCGGGGGTTCACTATAGGGTTTGTTTAAGGATGTTTAAGGGTTCTAAGGTTTAGGGGTCTACTATACGGTGTAGGGGTTGAGGAGGTTAGTAGGGGTTTAGGAGGTCATGGGTTTAGGGTTTCGGGGTCTAGGGTCTATGGGGTTTAGGGGTAGAGGACTTGTGGATTCACTGTTGCTCCTTGAATATCAGTTCTTGGGGTTTCGGGCTTATTATGGTATATGGTGTAGGGTTGATGATGCTTATGCTTACTCTGTAATTCTGAATGCTGTCATCATCGCTTCTGTTTAAAACCTTGAACCCTAAAAATCGAAAATCTCAACCCGTAACCCTAAAGAGTCCTACGGCCCTAAAACCTAGACCCAAAACCTACATCCCGAAACCCAAAAGCCTCTGAACCGCAAACACCTAAACTGCAAACCTCGCCAAGGCAAGCAACTGCACCCTGAACCAAGGGCTTTAGAGTTTGGGGGTCTTTGGGGCTTCAGGGTTTTAGGGCTTTAGGGGTTTAGGGCTTTTCGAGTTGTAGGGTTCGGGGTGAAGTCTGAACATCCTCATGTTTGCTACGGAGGTTTCGTGAAATCTACGAGTTGAAGGTCTCCAGTCAGGTCCCGCAAAAGCATATAGCCTAAGGGTCCGTGTACTCATATAGTATGTACATTGGCCTTAATGTAGTCCCTAGATAGGTACTTATGGGTACATGGACCCTTAGGGATACTTCACCGGAGCCCTACGCCTCTAAACCTTCCTTCAACTTCAAAACATTAGGGTTCAGGGTTTAGGACTTGCTGGTGAACTGAGACGACCCACAGAATCGGATGTAGATGTAGATGGCAAAGAACAGCCATATGGGTTTAACCCTAAACCTGTCCACCTTGCCGCGGTAATCATCAAGAGCGCGCTCGATACTGAGGACAAGTCCATACCTCAATGAAGGTTCAGAGCGTCGTCTCGGTTTTAGGAGAAACTGGGGCGTAGGGATGAGTGGCAGCAGAAACAGCACTTGGGAATTTCCGAAAATAGGATACCCTAAGTAGTAGGATCCTTACAATAAGGACCCCAGAATAAGGTACTCCTAATTATCGGAAACCCCCACTTGAGGTTTAAGCATCCGAAGCTTCGAAGTTCCTACATGGATAGTTCTCTGAGCTAGGGACCAGAATAGCACGGCGCCCTTATAAAAGTGACCCCAAAAGGGACCTTACTTTGGAGAACTACCCATGTAATACAGATTTTATATAGGATGAGATGGATCACGCACACTGCTCGTCCCGTTTGGTCCTTGGTCCCTAAAACCTTCGAAAACACTTCTGGCATCAAAACACCTCCCCAGAGAGCCCAATACCCCTCAATTGAGGAATATATCTTAAATCATACTAGGAAGTCCCTACTTAATGATTTAAGGTCTATTCCTTAATTAAGGGGTATTGGGCTCTCTAGGATATACATCACAAGAACCCTACTGAAACCTTAGCTCCTCGCAGCTAGCCCCTAAAGCCAAAGCCCTAAGCCTAAACCCTAATCCCGAAAACCGTACTCCCTAAAGCCTAAGGACACATACATATCCTAATGGCCTTCCCAGTTACAACGCCTTGTACTAACAACTTACTCATTGGGTTTAGGGTTTACGGGTTAAGGGTTCAGGGGTGCAAGCATCGTAGTATGCAAGACCCTACATGGCAACAACATGGAAAATAACTGCGAAAACCCTAAACTGCAAACCAAACCTAAGTCTCAATAACCCCAAGCCTGAAACCCTAAACCCTAAACCCCTAAACCCTAAACCCTTGAACACAAACCCACAATTCCAAACCTTCACCATCCTTGGATTCGAGTTCTGACGCTGGGTCGCATGTAATGGCCCGGTTTGGAAGCAGTGGAGCCTTTCTCGTCGATCTCTGCAGATGTAGCCGCGAGGCCTACCCAAAAGCAATCGTGGCCTAGGGTTCAAGGTGTAGGATCTTAGGGGCTTTGGGCTTTAAAGAAGGGTGTTTGAGATTTGCGGACAAGGACTTTGGTTGTCAGGGTCTTGGGTTGGTCCAGGGTTTTCGGCCGGTCAAACACAACACACCCGATGCGTGAGAGTCGTTGTTGGTGCTTGTTCGGTCCTGCCTACTGCAGATTCACCAATGACCATTCGGTGGCAAGAGTTCCTAACAAGTTACCCCGCTAAAACTGGCACTTCAGGGTTGTTCTGCATGAGGGGCAGCAGACCTTGCTGCGTTTGAAGCTCCATGTAAATTGGCGCTTATAGTACATCTCCAAACCCTAAGTATACAATCCATGAACCCCGAAACATTAAAATTAATCGACCCTCCGCCGAACTACCCCGCTCCACGAGCTCGCTCTCTCTCTCTCTCTCTCTCCCTCTTTCTGTCTATCTCTCCCTCTCTCTCTCTCTCTCTCTCTCGTTCTCTTCTCTCTCACACACAATTCCAGGGCTCCAGTTACCTAAATAGTTGTTTACGGTGTAACATTTTGCATGGTTAGTAACCTACTATTATGGTGAGAAACCCACCCACCATTATGACTAGCAACCTGCCACCATTAATGGTTAGGAACCCCCAGTAACCTGCCACTAGGTCGCTGGAGCCCTACTTGGAGATTCATGGGTAGTTATGAGTAGGGCTATAAGTGGGACAACTATACTTAATATTAGGGGACTTAGAACTCCACTTACAACTACCAAGTAGGCGAAAGAGCATGCTCCTGTGAAGTGTCGGCTGCGCGTGGAAGCCGCAAAGTCGCTCAGCTTTTTGCAGAGAAAGCCAGCCTCAATCTGTCCCCAAGGGTCCCAGGTACATACATAGCGCCAAGAAGGGAAGTCTGTAGTAGGAACTACTATTGTGGAGTGGGTAAGATATAGGTACTTCGGACCCTTTGGGCCCGAAACCTCGACCTCAACCCTAAAACTCTAAAGAACCCCTGAGCCCTGGAACATGTAACTCTACATCCCTAAAGGCAACCCCGGAGGCCCTCCAACCGGAAAGTTCCGCAGGCCCTAAACACGTAAACCCTCAAAGCTACCCATAGGCCCCAAAGTAGCTCTTTTTTTTCGGATTACCTTGTAGGATACTATGTATGAACCCCCAAAAAGGAACTACTTTGGGGCCTTAGGGTAGAGCCCTAAAGCCTTCTAGACAACAGATGTAGTGTTGCGTGTTCCAGGGTTTAGCATGTACAGTTTTAGGGTTGAGGGTTCGGGACCAAAGGGTCCTAAGCAGCTCTATCTTACCCAAACCAAAATAGCAATTCCCACTTTAGAATTCAAACCATACTAGCAACCCTAAACCCTAAACCCTAAACCTCCCACTATAGACTTCCTGCTTACGAAAGTCCCGATGGCACAGCGGTTAATTTGGCGGCCCCATGGCCTCATTCAGATTCAGGTTTAGGGGTTTAGGGTTTAGGGTTTCAGGGTTTGGCATTTTGGGGGGGCGTCTTCCGCAACATGCAAAAGACACGGCTGGGTTGTTGTTGTGAACTGAGTAGAGGATAAGGAGAGGCGGAAGAAACCTCCTTTTGGCTTGGTCGGTTCTCCCGGGGGGTAGGAGTGTAGATGATCGCGAAAGTCTTCAACATCAGGGGTTTGCAGTCTTGGGCCTCTGTTCATCTTGAAACTTTTACTGTAAGGGTAACTAACCGTTTGAGAAACCCTTAATTGACTGTTCTACTTGTTAAAGCGCTAAATTCTCCTTTTTGGGTTCCATGCAGGAAAGGAACTTCGAGCGCACGCTCCAGGAGCTGTCCTAAGCGTTGCAGGGCTTTGGCTAAAAAGCATTAAGCCTCGGCTTCGGGTTTAGGTTTAGGGTTTAGGGTTTAGGGTTTATAGGGTTTAGTGTGTTTCGGGAAGTTTAGGGCTTCTTTCGTTTAGGCTATGTAAGGGTTTTGGGCTTCGGATTTACGGGCTTAGGGCTCAGCGTGTTCTACTGTCTGGTTCAAGGGTTTTTGGACGTCGGGTTTGGGGTGTATGGGCTTGGAGTTTCGGGTTCAGGGCCCTGCGGATCCGGGTTTGAGGAGGTCCAGATTTCACGACTCAAAGTGGGTCGTATATCTACGCTAGAAGCTCTACTGTTGAGGGACAACAGAATTGTGTAGGGTTTACGTTCAAACATTATTGGTGAAGACGACGACGGCTGCGGTTTAGGATGTTGGTAAGTTGTTTGTCTTGCAATGAAATGTACGGTTAAGCGCCAGCGGCAAAAGCTTCGCATCTACTGCTCGCATGGTCTGCCGTAGGAGTGCCTGTACCTCGATCTGGCTACATCCAGATTCTGGGGCCATGGCCCACTCTTGGAGGTTTGTGGGTAGTTAGAACTGGGGTTATAAGTCCCCTATTATGGATTATCAGTATAGTTACCCTACTTATAACCCTACGTACAGCTACCTCCAAGTTGAAAAATGCAGTCTCAAGCAACCATTCATCTGCAGGGACGATCGTGACGGTATGCTGGAAAAAACCTTTGAAGCCCACCGAAGCCTACTGCGCTGTAGCTTAGGCTAAGTGCAACATAAAGAACCCTGACAAGAACTGGAGGAGCCAAATGAATGGCGAAAGCTCAATGGGTGATGCTACATGGAACCCTTAGGTAGGTCTGGATATCACAATCAACAGCATCAAGAGCTTACGCAGAAAACAACAAGGACTGGGACTGCAAGGGAAATCAGCAAGCACTCTTCAGTCAACTGCTTAGACTCAAAATCAACAGAGTCAGTCTCTGTGGTCTACCCCATATAAGCTTCTGGACCCGAGGATATGGAAAACAAGGTACCTCGAAGACCCAACTACATCTAGACTCCAATGTGCAGGGAGTTGCAGTTGAAGCCTGCTGGTGGCCCTACGCGGCCAAGTGTACTCGGATAATGCAGATTTTTCGCAGAAAGCACGACTATTTATCTATCTTTCTATCTGTCTATCTATTTATATATATATATATATATATACACACATGTACGTGTATGTATATATATATATATATATATATATATGTACACGTACTAAATAATCCCTTCTCTCTACTATCAAACGGCCCTCCTCCCACCAGCAAACTCTGAACGTGTCCTTATCATTAGGGTGTATGCTTATCTCTGTTGTCACATCGGGGAGGATATTTCTCCTGCTCTGGCTTTTGCTCCTGCTTCCGCTGCGGCTGTTGCTCCTACTGCGGCTCCTGCTCTTGCTCGTGCTACGGCTCTTGCTCTTGCACCTGATCTTGCTGTTGCTCCTTCTTTTGCCGCTGCTCCTGCATACTCTTCTTTCTTTTGCCCTTGCTCCGGCGCTTCTGTCCTTGCTCTTACATCCCCCTCATTCAACACAAAGGTCTTAAATGCCATGGGTGATTTTGAGAAATTTCCACGAGTGCTTCGAATGGGGGGTGGCGTTTACGAAATGGGGGAAGCGATTGAATATATATATATATATATATATGTATATGTATGTATATGTATGTATGTATGTATGTATGATTGTATATATTGTATATATATAGTATATATATGTATACATATTTGTTTATACATGTGTATATATATATATACAGATCCAGAAATATATGCATACATAGACACACACAGAGAGATATGCATACACATATTAATATGAAATACCAACATGCTAGGCAGGTTCAGATGAGGATCTCTCCGACAGTGTCAGACGGTCCTGGCTTCGGCATGTCTGGTCTACACGGCTTCAGACAGGGTTTCGGGCTAATTCAGGGTTGAAGAGTCTTACGGTTTTGGAGTCAGGGTTCAGGTTTCTTTACAGTGTAGGGTTTCTCAGGGTTTAGTGTCCTCGTTCTTCCGGTGCAGTTTAGGGCTTACATTATCGTGGAATTGCATGGCTTTGAGCTTTCTTATCCGCGATACTAACGGCGGGTCCATACCATAAAGTTTGGGTATATGTACTCTACATCTCGACCCGAGATCCTAAGCCTAGCCAGGTGCAGAAGTTGCACAGAAAGAGTACCAACTCATCAACTTCACCCTACATCCCTCAGCCCTCAAGGATACGCCCTAAGCCGGATTTCCCCAAACACCTAAGCCGTCCCGAAGCTTCAACCTGAACCCCCCCCCGCTCAGCCTCTGAACCCTGCTATTTGGATACCGGGCCCTCCATCTCTCCAATCCAACACTCTGACGCAACCCTAAAGCGCGCATGAAAGCCATGAAGCCCCTCTTGGTTTTGATTGAAGAGAAATCTAAACTGGGTTTCCATTTCAACAATCTCCAAGACTAATTAAAACCAGGGCTCTTTATTAAACAATGAGGGACATTCAAACAACAAATCCAAACCGATACCTAGTAATAAAACACCCGGACAAGACCCAGACACCGAAACTCACAAACCCCAATTTCTGAACATCTAAACCCTGAAGCAGAACCCAAAGCCAGACCTCACTGCCGATCACGAAGCCGGTCTCCGTCTCTCGGACGAGGCCTCCGGCGTAGCCGGCCTGAATGCAAGCATCATCAGTCTGAGGGTGTCTGGGGTTTATCTGGCTGGTATGGCTTAGGGTTCTTTAAAGAGTCTCAGAAGAAGGGTTTAGGGTTAGGGCTTACCTGGACCCCCAAAAAAACCAGCAATTTCTTGGGTTCCTGTTTCGGGTTAAGGTAAAGCTTGGGATTCAAAGTCTCGGGTTCAGGAATTAGGGTTTTAGGTTTAAGCTTTACACGATGCGAATGTTTTAGTTTGGTTACAAAACACTCATATTCCGGATTGTGTACCCCTTCCCATATGCCAAGACATATGCATCTGCACACACCGACATACCTACCCACCTGCCTACCTACCTACCTGCTACTACGGCCTATTTATCCACCTGCCGACCAAGACGCATGGCATGGCATGGCAAGGCCTGGCAAGGCATGGCAAGGCAGGGCAAAGGCATGGCAAGGCATAAAATTAAATGACTCATGACATGCCAGGAAACGCCACGCCACGGCATGCACATGTATGCACACGCAATTGCATAGATTCAAAACATATACTTACATACGAATTTGACTCGCTCGTTCATAGTGTGCAAAGCTTGCAGTAACAGTAGGTATCGGGTTTTTCACGGGGCAGGGCCTCCGGATAGTGAGTTTGAACGTAAGGAATCTAACATAACACAAAAATCATTCTGGGAACAATTCTCACATTCCGACGTGGATGCAGCGTGCGCTGAAGGGACTTGCCGGTGACCGAAAGCCAGACCGAATCTAAATCTTGGCTCGTCTTCAAGGCCAGCGGAGAGAATGCGAGCTCCTCCATGTGCCTTGAACTTGGAGCGGCAGCTGCGCCACAGATGAACAGACAGGCTCTGCTGGAGTGTCCAGTGCCCCACGCGAGGATCTGGCCAGCGGGCACCAGGCAAGATTGTCAGCCTTGCCTTGCTTGCACTTGGCCTGATGGAGTGAGCCATGTGCAGCATTGGGCGAAGGAACCGTCTCCACAGATACGGGAGTTACCCAAAATCGGGGTACTTTATTCTGGTGCTCTTATAATAAGGATCCTAATATTTAGGGTACTAATAGTAGGGTCCCCTATTTTCGGAAACTCCCATATTATCACCTGATACCTTCGGCCTTCCTATGCCGGAGTCTGACACAATTCGGGAACCTTCTTTTTACGATGCCTATACCCAAAGGCCCCTTTTTGGGGCTCATATATGGAATCCTATAGGGTACTCCCTTTGGGGCCTCTGGGTAGGATCCTGTCGACTGCAAAGACACCCTCAAACGGGGACCCCTGATCCTGGGAAGCCGTCATACAGGAGTTTCCGAGAATAGGGGACCCTAATATAGTACCCTAAATAGTAGGATCCTTATTATAAGGACCCCAAATAAGGCACCCCCAATTCTCGGAAACTCCCATATGGGGACCTGTATTCAACTATCATTCTTTCGGGAACTACCAAGGAATGGTACGGCGAAGTATCCCGACTTCTATGGGACGCCGCAGACTAACATAGAGGCGTTGGGGGGGATATATTATACTAGGATCCAATAAGGATCCGCCAAAATAGTATTGGATAATTTTTAGGACTCAAGTTAGATTCCTGAACAAGAGCCCAGGCTATGGGACGCCGCAGACTAATGCAGGAGGAGCTGCCAACCCATAGATGACCTCCTGGATCATGGCCTGAAAGCTCGGAGTCGAGTTGCAAGGTTCAGATCAGGCTGGAAGGCACTGGTTAAGGGTGTGTGTGTGTGTGTGTTTTATTTTAGGGCTCTTTACCACCTGCAGGGTGTAGGGTTTAGGGTTCAGGGGAATTGAGTTTAAGGGGTCTGGGAATTTTAGATTTAAGGGTTTATACCGTAGAAGCCAGAAAGTTGGAATATCATTATCGTAACCCGATCCTACCATTAATCCATATTCCAACTTTCTGGAGTTCCCTTTAAGGGATTAGGGTGTATTGGTTGAGGGGTTACCGGCTGGGGGGTTTAAGGGTTTACGGTTTAGGACCGTGCTGAGGGGCTTGCCTATGCGCCATGGCCCAGAATTCCTAAAAGATACTCTCCAACCCTGAGCACGTGGGTTCTACAGAGGGTTCGTTGGGTCGGCTTGGTGGAAAGTTTTATGTAATTATCTGTGAGGACTTAGTAGGCTGGAGTGTCTTGGATTTTGGAGCTGATAGACAGTCCTAAGGCTAAATAACAACAGGGACCTGAACGCTAACACCGCAAAACCCAAAGCCGCACAGCCCCAATGCCGCCACGAAAATCCGAAAAGACCTTGACACTAAATCCTGGGCCTCGACAGCAAGCGGCAGTGAAGCCGACGGGCTGCATCCATGGAGACTAAATACCGAGCCGGGGAAGCCCAGTTACTCCCTGGTGCTTATAGGGCATGGGGAATATAGATCCCTATGATAGCTTCTTAAGGGTCCCTTATAGTCGTCCCAATAACCCATTCCCCCATTCCCTACAAAGAACCAGACAGATTACATAAGGGGCTCAGGGTTTCGAGTTCTGGGTTTCGGGCTCTGGGGCATCAGGGTTTAGAGTTCAGGGTTGCGGGTTGAAGCTTCAGGGTTTGGGGCTTTAGGGCTGTATAAGCCTTTTTCTAGGTTTTAGGTCGCAAAATGGGGTCTTGAGGGTGTTCTGATTACTGATTGATATGCATGTGCGGTCATATGAGCTATGCGTACAGAATTATACTGTACAGTGCCACTGGGCACGGTATCCCAAACGCTCTTAGTCCATCCTGCTTGTTTGCGGCCCTGTGCAGGTTTCGGTTAGTTTTGTGAGTAGTGAACAAAAGCTGTCGGCACAGGGCTCTGAGTTCTGAATTCTGGGCCAGGTGTAGCCTCAGGGTTTAGGGACGGGTGTTGAGACATGACCGTGCAGAATCAAATGAGCCTGGCTGCTACAAGAAACAGCCGCATTTGGGGCTTTCAGCCTGACTTCACCAAGAAGCCATGGAAATGAAAGGTTAAACTTTCAGATTCCTACTACCTAAACTCCAAGAACCCCAAAGCTAAATTTTCAGATTCCTTCAGATTCCTACTAAACTATAAGAACCCAAAACGTTTAACGCACATCAGGTATTGGAGAACTAATACTACCCAGCTGGAGCCCCCTCAACTTGCGTCCAGACTATGCCGGCCTTTGTCTGAAATAAGGCTTTCGCTCTGAAACCACAAGCTCTATACTCGAGAAACTGAGAAACCCAATGCTCAAACTCTTCTCCTTCTTCCTGAACCACAAAGAATTCGCCACAACGCAAGCTGATTAGTCGGATATGTCCTGCACGCACGTTGCCCTTATTGTCAGTCAATCAATCAACCGATCATTCATTCAAACAGCCACTAACCAACCAATCGACCAACCAACCCACCACTTGATCTACCTTACGTAGCTAACAGATAGCTAGCTAGCCAGTGTGGCTGACTTTCGTGCTCACTTGCAACCCCACGGCCACGGACCCAACATCATCAGGGCACGGCGCGGGTATGTTGAAGTAACAACCCAACGACACTACAAAAGGGCAATGTAGGAACCCGATTAAGAAACCTTGGGCCTTTGTTAGGGTTTCTTGTATGAACTTTAATATATGGGGGGGGGTTAGAGGCCAAGGGGTTTCTTAATCAGGTTCCTACATTACAGCACTATCCACGGCACAACCCACTCCTGCAAAACACGATCTTAGACTGCAAAACACTCGTGAGTCCTTGCACATAGTATTGGGGTTCCTGACCATAAATGTAGTGGTTGTATACACCAAAACCGTGTTACCCTAAACCCTAAACCCTAAGTTATGCAGCTCCCCAGAATAACCCAGTCGAGGCTGGCACAAGTTCCCACGCAGCTCTGCCCTTTGGGTACTGCAGCCTTCCGCAGCCATGCGAGCGACTGTGGGGGCTTGGATTGCAGACTTTCAAAAACGTCTATGTATGCATATGCGTATTCATGAATATTCATTTTATGCTTAAAGTACATACATAAAAATATGAGAACATATGTAGACATGCATATCTATTTACTTGGTTTGCCCTATTTCTTTTGCACCCACACACACACACTATCATCGTGACAATGTATTTATGGGTCTTTCGAGAGCTTCTTGGGGAGGTCTGGTGTCTGATTGTCTGGCGGTGGGGTTTTAGGGCTTTAGGTCTGAGGTTGAGGCTGTAAGGTTTACGAGGTTGGGTTTCTGGCATGTTTTTTGTCCATGAGGGTGGGCGCTAAGGGGGTCGGCACCCCACACAGCAATTCGCTAATCGCAGGTCTTGGCTTCTTTCGGTGTTATTAGGAAGATGCGTTTTGAGCTTGACTTTGTGTAGGGCTTTGGGCTTTTGAGGTTTGGTGTTTCGGGCTAAAACCTGCTGCTTATCATCCAGCTCTATATGTGCTATAAACCTAAATCCAGCACCTGACGCTAAAGACCGTATATACACAGAAGTGGACGTTATCGGAGCAAGAAGCTGGACTTTTGCGCCGTAAATACATCTCAAACGCCCATACACCTCCCAAGCCCTAAACCCTAAACCCGGTATGCACCTCCCAAACCCTAAAAGACCCAAGCTCTCATCACAACAGCTCAGGGAGCGGCGCGTAGCCCTTGTAGAACGCAAAGACCTCGCTCATGTCTTGCCGCTATAGGCTATAGGGAGGAACCAAGGAGAATACAAAGATACGAGCACGCGCGACAAGCAGACCAACTTACTAGCCTTAGCCTTCGTCATTTGCAGAGGGCTTTGGGCCATATCATGATAATAATACTACGAATAATCGTAATGCCGAGGAGGAAAACACTAATGTCAAAAAACATTAAAGGAGTCGTAAGGACTAGTATTGCTAAATATTCCGGCCCAACTAGAAAGGATAGTGACAGGTCCATGATCCATGATCCGTCAGACATGACGAGGTGCAGTAGGACTAGGGCTTTGGGTTTGAAGCTCTAGTCTTCCACGCAGCTCTGCGCAGAGAGGATTGAAAGGAACCCTAACGGTCCATGTACCCACAGATACACTTTGGCGTCAAAGAGCTTCTTATATAGGTACTTCACGGCCAATGCAGACGTAATATAGGGGCCTTAATAATTAGAATAGGGTGTTGGGGTACACTATTATTCTATATGTGCAATAAAGAACCACCGAAATGATGTTGAAATTACTTAGGCCCCTATAGTACACTAAAAAGGGTCATGGACCCAGCCAGGGCCGGTCCAGGATTTCCGTTCAGCTTTTTGAAGGGCCCACAGCCCTAAAGTGTCCTTGTGAGCGTGTCAAGAAGGACCTGCTACCACCACTGCAACTCTCCAGCATAGACGATCTAGGAGAAATCGTACGTTGAGTACCTAAAGTAGTTCAATAATCAGAAGAAGCTGTAAAGTGTGTCAAAAACCAGAGAAAACACGACACGACAAAACAATGCTGATAACGGACACATCATGTGGACAACGAAGGAAACGTCGAAGAGCAAACAACAACAGAAGAGTCCAGCGCACGTAAGGCCCGGGCAAACATGTAGAAAGTGTAAACGTACACGAGGTACCTGTGCGATTTGCAGCATAATCTTCGAAGTTCAATGCACAGCGCCAAGGTTTGGCTGTGGCTGCTTGGATCCCTCATTCGGGACATAAAGATTCTATATCAGAACTCCTGGAAGCTACATTGCTGACAACCCTACTATGTGAAACCGAAGCCATACCCTCTTTGCAACGCCAACGCAAGCCCAGCATAAGTCAAGCTTAGCAGGCTTAGCAATTCCCACATACGGCTGTAGATTGCCTACCTATCTATCTATCTATCTATCTGCCTATCCATGTACTTACCTACCTCTCTACCTATTTATATACATTGTAAAAATCTTCCCTGTCCATCTAATTATCTGTGAACCGGCTTATCATCTGCCTTCCTACATTTGGTGCAAGACGTCATTCAACATCTCGGTAGCACCATGAGTCTGACCAATACTGTCCCTGCTGTAGTACTGAGAAGCATTGCCGCGTGCGTGGCTGTCGGGTTGAGGGGCGATGAAGGATACTCGGACTGTGGGTTACTGGGTTTGAGGGTCGTTGAACGTCGGGCATCAGACTCTTGTTCCATATCGTAGAGGCCTTATCAATAAGGCCGGGGTTTTGTGGGGAACCCTACAAGGAAGAGCATCGGCAATGATTCAGACCCTGTACTAGGCGGTCTTCATATTCTCTAGAAATACTATGGAACGAGTCCTCATTGCAAGCTACGTCTTCGGTTTAGGGTTTCGGGTTTAGGGGTTTAGGGTTTAGGGTAATCTCAAAAACCAAGATGTTCAAAGAAGCTGTTGCTGGATGTCGGCAACACCTCCCCAGGACAAAGAGGGCACGTGTGAGCAAAAAAGAAGGACTTCACCTCAGTTGGCAGCTGAGGCTCGTACTGGAGGGGATGAAACGTTCGGAAGGGATGAAACGTTCGGAGACACGCATGTGTTAGTCGCATCGCAAAGGATTGAAAACGAAGTCCCAATCGTAAACTCAAGGGTGATACTACTCCCGGGTTTTGTTGGGCTGGAAGTTGCTGGTCAAGTGAGAACTTAATGAAACTGCAAGCTCCCAACCAAAACCCCCTCAGCCTCACCCCGGCTCTTGTCCTCGGTTTAGGGTTTAGGGTTTTTGCTCCTCCCGTCTATTGTGATTCACACCGGCCTGACGTT